ATCAGACCTGTCTTATTTAACATGGTTCCTTTGGTTATCAGACCACTGCAATGACAATAAGTCAAATAATATAAAAACAAATTTTGAATCTTCGATGTTTTAAAAGACAATATATAACCAAAAAGAGGATACTACACGTATAATGAATGACTAGAAAAAGGATTTTATCACCTGCTATACTTCTGCAGAATTAATTGGAGAAATTATACTTTAGAAGAAATATTACGTATTTCATTATATAAAGTATTTATAACATAATTTATATTACATAAGTAAGTAAGCTGATATGGTCTGATGAACACTCTTTGTCATTAAAGTTTACAAATTATATCATGTTATTTTCACACAGTAAGGTGATGACATACCTTGGTACCCCCACTAAGTTGCTGTGAGATGTTCCCTGAACCCTGTAACACAAACCAGGTATACACTAATTATTGGCTAGTGTACCCAGACATTACCCGAGGCTGATATCTGTAACAGGGGAGGAGTTAGAAACAATAGGAGTATCAAGTTAATGAAGTGAAAAAGATTAAAGGAATTTCTCTTTCAATTATTTTTTACCCAGAAATGTTACGATCAGAAAGAATTCTTATTTCGAAATATATTATATAAAAGACGTTGATTGCATACTTACTCAAGGCAAAAATCTTGTTCATAATTTTAAAGTTTATTTTTGCTGGATTAAAACTGAAGGTGTCACGTGAATTTACATAATTTGAAGCAGACCTCTTTCAGGTGTAAGTTTGCTGAACAGGAAACTAAGGAACAAATGTCCACAACGTTTTTTTTTATCAATATTTCCACATGTGGTCAAAGTCCCACAGAACATGGGATTGTTTGTCTCATAGGAAAATTATTTCCAAGAGAAATAATTGCTTAGTTTTGATTTGATAAAACAGCTTAAAATTTATTATTCGACACTTTAAAAAAAATCTCATGTTGAGAAATCATACTCGCTGTTGGACTTCTCTTCCATAAATGTCTTGAATTTTATTTGATTGAAAAAGTAAATTATTTAAAGAATCATTAATCTATTCACTATAGGCGTTTCTTGTGAATTAGTATATATAGTTTACTGGGACATTTATAAATGCAATGTAATGGTATTCATACTTTAATATTTGAAAAAATATCAAACACTTAAATATAATCTTGAGCTGATATTGTGGTGTGTTATCTACAAACTCAGTCGTAACAATGTAATTATTACCGTGACGTGTTTAAATTCTCAATCTGTTGAGAACTTACCACAGACTGTACATGCACATACGAATAATTAAGGAATTAAATGCTGGCACATCTGAGAATTGCTGTTGATATTACCAATCTCTTAGTCCCTAGTAGTGCCCTTTTGATTTCTGGACTGATCAGAAAAACAAAATGTCTGCAGGTAACCATCTTGGATTTGACACTTACATATTATCATCACTTCCTAAAGAGGAACTGTTCAGTTTCACATATCTGAAAGCAAAATCTGGAGGGGGGAAAGAAGAGGAGAAATCCAATGTTAAGGAACAAATACAGATCAAACAATGGTGAGTGCCAACTTCTCTCTGGGATTTCTGTTAGAGCTGTGGAAATAGTTATTGGACCTTTGAACTGTACAATAACACTATCAAGACTATACTGAGGGGAGCAGCCTACAATGGTATAACAGAGTGGTCAGAAACAAGAGTAAAGTCACATGATCCACCCGACCTTCAGTATACATAGTAAGCTTCTAGACGATCTTGATTCTTCATTCTTGAATGTATCGTTGGTTGCGCATGACGTTATTTCTGACCTAGTTTGTCCAATTTTTTAAAATCACTTTAATGTATTTAAAAATAAGACTCTGAATGGATGTCAATATTCACATTTAAAATATTTAAAAAAATTAAAATGTATACAAACTTTCTTGATTTCTATTTTCCTAGCAGATAGCTCCTTACTAGTAACGATTTGGATTGATCTTGATATCAAGTCCTTTACAATGGTTATTTATCCTTAATTTGAATGCATTTAATACATGTTATATACTTCATACTTTCAATTGCCCTGATGTCTTTGTTTAACATTGAGGCTGAGAATCAAAGAATGCTATATTGGGTCCATTCTCTTCATAAAATATTGATTTCATGTCCAACATATATTAACTGTCAATAGGTTGATGTGATGAATCTTCTAGTACACACCTGCATATTAATATCTGATGTATATTAATATCCCATATATTATATAGATACCAAACCTCACCACATGTGGTACCACTTGTTACTCGATATCTAAAACGGATCTTAAAATTCTTAATTCCTTTTTAACACATCGTATTTAAACTTTACCTTTAATATTTCAATATACTCTTGAATTTTTATATATAAATCTAAATTGATCTTTTATATATATATATATATATTTTCTAATAAAATATATATGTTGTGGTGTGAGCGAAGGGGTCATTGAATATTCGAATCCTACCTTCTAATACCCCGTTTCGTCTGTCGATAACAGCGACGTCTGTCGGTCAATCATGTGGTTACATCATGAAGAGGCATACCGATCTTCTTATGTCAGGTCACGTGGCAATATATATGAATAGGTAAGTTGTGCTATATCACGTGTGGAAGCAGGTTGTATGCTTATATCATTCCTTAATAATCTTTCGTAACGTACCATAAACCCAAATTTTACAACTTCTGGTTACGGGCTGATATTCATATACTGGGTGGTTTGTCTTTCCCAGGAAGTTGTTATTACGGATCGTCCTGTGGTTGTTTCCGTGGGCTTATCATAGTTACATACCTCCCGCATGATGTTCGGGGAGGTAGCAAGGTTGTCCAGCCTTGTGAATGGTCTCGATGTGATAAATCCACCAGAAAAGGAAATGATTTGACCAAAATAATGAAAAAAACATATCTGTAACTTTAAACATTAGTACATGTAGTTTTAGTATCAATTCATAACTGAAGGAAAAACGCGAGAAATTTGAATGCCAACAAATAGAACTTCATGACATTTATCTTTGTCCAGTTTATATTCATAAGCCTATGAATGCCAATTGAATGAAGTTCAATTATTTAAAGACAGGGAAAAAATCTTGTTTGATTTTCTATTACGTTCAAAGAGGTAGCCACCATGTTATAACTGCTATATAGGCAGTTATTCGGGCGATGAATCCAACAAAATCGGATCGCCAGAAAACTATTCTGGAGTGATTGCTTTCAGTTAAGCAATATGTGAACCAAATTTATCGATATATTTATTTCCTTTAAATTTTCTTCTCGATAACTAAAAACTTAAAGTTGCAATGAAAGATTCCACTTATGAATGTGGGAACTTCTGCTTTTTACGTGCTTATCACCTCATGAATATTCATGTGACATGCTGATCATCTCATGAATATGCAAATCAACAACACCCGCTGGTACTAATCCTGATTGGCCAATCATTATACCTGGTCACGGAATCGTCTCTATCAGTCGGTCAGTACTACTATTACAATTGGTGGTGGGGAAGTGCTTCCAGGACATTCTGCTTTATACAGTCTAAGGTAAGATCAAACTTAATTCTATTTTTCTTTTTTCGATTTCAGGATTTGTGGAAATAGGAAACAGATCCTTTGTATCAATCTTTAAAGTCTTTATTAATTTTCTATATTGATTGTATGTAAACATCGTAAACAGAAAGGAAAGAATTCCCAACAAGGATAAGTACCACATCACTGCTTTAGTCAAATTAGAGAGAGTAAAAAAATCAGCTTCAACGTGTGATTTGTGGACTTGTAAGTTAACAATAAATTATGAAGTTCTCCATTGTTTTTCAAAGTTGAAATCGTATTGATATGAAAAAATGCTGACACAACGACTAAAAATCGCTCAAACTTTGTACAAAGACGCACAAATGAATAGCACAATTTAATACAAATTAAGATGCAGTAGAGCCACAAAATAGATAAAACTATATCATACAGCTGTTACGTCTTTTCACGACATAGGAAGTAATGTCAAGGGTCTATGTTTTGAAGACTAGGAGGTGACTGGTTAATATTCAAAGTGATAACAAGAAATATTAAAAGCAAGATCGGGAGATGCACTAGATTCACAAATTCAATAATTTTCGTAATTTTCTGATAATTAAAGGATAACGACAGGTTCATGTGTATATTCTGAACCGTGCTACTTTTTGAATGAATTAAACGTGGCAGACAAGTTGTGCCAAACCCCGAGGACTTAAAATCTACCAGGAGTGTCTACCAACTGATATATTGAGGATTATACTAAAGACACACAAATGAATAGCACCAACGATGTACAGTTACACTGTATACAGCCATGTAAAATGTCAGGCCTTTTCTCTTGACACTTCTTTGTTAGACAAAATAGTACCAGTAGGGCTGCTAAAGGGCTTCGTACTGTGGCCATATCTTTTCTAAATTAAATATGAGGACCACAAAAGGACATCTCTTTACGGTGTTAGAAAGTAGAAACCAATTCCTCTCCTCTATCTGATAGCACGCATATTTTTTGCTGTTAAAAATATCCAGTACGGCCTCTACTCCATCGGACAACAATTGGTAAATAATGTTTCACATTTCAGACCCAGATAACCCAGACTGAAGTACAAATTTATCGTAACCTGCACAGCACGTTTCAATAAGTTGAAAAAGTGGCACGGTTCAGAATATACACTTGCGGCTACTTGACATCCACACATAGATTCTGATATTCCTTCGGCTATATAGATTTCTTTCTGTAGCCTCCTATGTTTAAAAATGCAGGCCCTTACCAGCACTGACGAGTCATAGAACGACAAATGAGATGGATTTTAGTTTTTTGATTCTACTCTATCTAACTTTAAATTTGTATTAAAAGTTACCATACATTCGGGTGTCTATTGTATAATTACCATATTAGGTAATTAATATTTTGATGTGTCAATGCCTCAATAATATCTTTTGTGACGTAAAAAATGATGTTATTTGAATAAAAGAATAATGTATGTTTGTGACATATTGCAGAATGGACAGCGATGTGAATTCCAAACTGTGCCCTACTGATAATAACACACTCACATCGCCAAACTACAGAATTGAAAATGTTGTCATGGAAAGGACGAGTCAATCCCCGGATGTAGAATTGGAAATCCAGAAAGAGGCACTCAATGACCCGGATGTGCAGCCATTAAGTTACAACGTTTCAGATAACCCGCCGTTTGGATTATCACTGATTCTAGCTCTACAGGTACTGGTACATCAAAGGAAAATTTATTTGGAAAGAAAAAATGGTCTGTTTTTAAGTCGGTAAATCTACTGAAATTTCGGTTAAAAGCGGAATATGAAAAAAATGTGGGGAAGGTGGTTGTTGTCGTAACAGCCTTCACCATATCGCGAAATAATAGCGAATTTTTGTACATTTGAGTTATCTCCCTTGTCTGCTATGGTCCTCTTGCGCGATACACATAAACGCATGATTTGTTTCTATTAAACTGCTTTGTGTTTACTTCATATGTTATATTTCTAAATAAACACTCATTTATCGATAATCTGAAAAGCCATTTTAAGTCCCATCCGACGGACTGTGAGGTAGTGATTAGTTGTAAGTATGGTGCTGGTGGTGATATGTTGTTTCGGTGTCCAAGTCCATGTTCTACCACTCTATATACTGTTCGCTGTATCTATGTCTATACCGTTCCTTTCTTCATGTAGTTTTTCGATGATTATATATTGTGATTGTGAGGTAAATATTGGGAGAGGTTGGAGGTGTAAGTAGGAATTAACTGAGTGGTTAATAAATAGACTTGTATGAATGTTACATTAATAAACATAAATTGTAAAATAAAATTATTCTTTTTCACCATACCTTAGCAAATAAAACAAAATACCTGCTACAGTTATGTTTTGGAGCAATAATTTTAAAAAAAAACGTCAAAAATAGTACTTCTGTCAAACTGTAAATTTGTAGGGACATTTAAGATAATGACTCTAAAAATACCATAAAACTGACAAGTTAAACAATACAAGTGATTTGTCGATACAGATGAACCTATAAACAAATTATGACCCAACGTCTGATCTGAAATCGAGAGGTGACTTCAGTTAACCAAAAACAAAACTACTTTTTGTAACTTGAAAGAGTCCTTCAGTGTATGTTCAGAATATCTTACAAAGAGGAGTATGAGCTTGCACAGTAATAGGAAGATAAATACCTCGCGTACCAACAATGACCTTCACCTTTTCCATAATGTGTAATACATGCGTTTACATGTATTTGGAATAATAATAATAATAAAAATATAAAATGAAAGAAACACACACCAAAAAAACTTTAAGTTCACATACTTAGTAGTATTACAGCAACATTAGGAACGTTCATTGTGAACAAGAGTATAATGGTAATGTGTAACATATGCCCGGTAGAAGAAAAGAAAAAAATGTATTGACCAAATGCACCAACAACTGCAATTCTGATTTTCATATTGACACAAAAACCAAAATTTGGTCTTCTGATAAAAGTATGTCCGTCTATGGAAATGTACTTGAAAACGATGTTTACAGATGAATAAAAGTGGGCTCATACAGTCACATTTCCTGAATATGAAAAATACTAACCGAATTTCTGTAATGCTTGTCTCGAATTTGATATTTTTTTGAAGAAAGGGATAACAGCTTATTGACCTTTTTCTACTTCTTTCATTACAAAAAAACAAAAAGGACAATATCTGATAAAAACTCTGAATAGTGAGTATAAAAGACTAGACACTCTAGAGTGGCTTATAGTTTATATACAAAATCCTCAAAACAAATCTAACTGCTTGAATACATTTACCACAACATTAAAATGCAATGCATTAACTTTCTGCTACAATAATTATTGTAAATCTCTGACAATCACTTAATTATGTCTAAATATATCCAAGTTACTATCGGCACTTCTCGTGTATAGAAAAAAACCCATACATAGTAAAACACGAAAACAAGGTCAATCGCCTTCGCCCTAGACAAAAAAGTTTCCTTAAAAATTCCTCCCCCACCCCCAAGAAAAACACATACACACAAATTCATTGTCTTCCACCACAATTGTTTATATTCCTGTTTTTCTAGTCTGTCTTCCAAACTGAATTCATTTTTTGTTTAAATACCAGGTAAATAGTTTTCTTTCTCTTCGCTCTTGATCCATGGGTTTCTAACGTCCTAATTAGAAGGATTCCAATACAAGCAGTTTATTCTGTTGAATTACTATGTATGTAAGTGCAGTGTTTCCTGTGTGGTTTGATCCACGGAAGTACTGCTCGGTGATTTCATCATTTGATGTTTCCTACCCTTGTTGATTAAACAAGGAAATGACTCCATTTCACCGCATAAGATATGCAGTATTTCACATGTAAGCATATGTATAGAACAACATAGTAACATGTGCCATTTCTTACTAATAGAATGTGCTGTTGTCATTTGGAATGAACTTGCTCGTCAGTGTTACGATCGCTGACCTCGCATGCGCAGAAAGGAACGACCCAATCAGAGCCAAGCTTTTCTGTACGTCAATATTTGTGGTGGGACTAACTACAGTGGTACAGAGCCTATGCGGAATTAGGTAAGTTAAAAAGAATTCAAATAGGATGGAGTGCATGCTTTCATGCAGTCCACGTGCGTTTTCGCGGAATTTGTTTTACGCATCGGAGTATTCATCCTCGTGTATACGTAGGTGGCACCAGCACCAGTTCATTTGAACAAAAACGAAGATATTATGTTGTTAAAATTTCAACGAAATTCTGTTTAATCTGATGATTTATATAAAATAAGATCTTCACTGTGAAAGGTGTTGTAGATTTTAGTCCCCTGCCGGTGAAACCGGAGAGGACTATAGTGTTTGTCTCCGTCCGTCCGTCCGGATGTGGGTTTCTAAACGATAACTTGAGAACAGATTGATGGTTTCGATCAAACTTCATACAATGGTAGTTTATAAGGCAATATAGTGTGGGATTTTGTTTGGGGCCAAAAGGTCAACTACAAAGGTCACTGTAACTAAAAATAGAAATTGTTGTCACATTTTAGTTTCCGGACAATAACTTGAGAATTGATCAATGGATTTGGATGAAACTTCATACAATGGTAGTTTATAAGGCAATATAGTGTGGGATTTTGTTTGGGGTCAAAAGATCAACTACAAAGGTCACTGTTACTAAGAATAGAAAGCTTGTTGTAAGTGCGGCCTACATTGTTTACGCAGCTCTATCTAAAAGTTGTTTAAAAGTGAAGAGGCTGTGTAGGTATTTTGAGGCTCTAACGGGATACACCAAACTCTGATGAAACATTGAGTAATTTTCAGAGTAGTAGGTGCAAGAAAAAATTTTTTACCTGTAACTGAACGAGATCGGGGTATCTCAGTCTCGGGCTAAGATCCTGTAGCATCCTAACCCCAGCTAACGCCTTGGTTGTGATTATATTACAGGATCCTAGCCCTTGTTAGTGTTCAATATCAAATTTGCTCTGTTATAGTGTTACAACTGTTACACCTGACTTGTTTCATGTTGGTATGAAAGAAAAGCCTTTTAGAATCCACTACGTACATTCATTCCGCATACAAAAAGGCATGGAACTGAACAATATTCCTGCCAAAACTTAGAATTGATAGGTTTCAAAATAAAAAAATAACACAAATGAATAAATTTGATAACTTAATGACGAAAAATTTTATAAAAAATCATTATGCATAACAGCTGGCGTGACATGATGTGACGTCACTGACAACTAATTCGCGCCATTTTCAGTAATTCAAAAACATTCATAACCGGGAACCATCACAATTCGAACAGAAATGTGTAAAAAGTATAAAACAACGTATTTTCCGCCCCGATAAATCCGTTATTTAGTCGTTAGGCACCGAGGATTATCTTCGCCTTTACGTCCACTGTAAGAATATTGTGTGATGTTGTATTCCGTTACTTGTTAACATCATTAAATGACAGCAATCCACTCACCAAGTGAATGCAAAGACATGTTCCACAAGTATACAAAGTTCCAACATGTCCCCTGCAATGTGTTGCGTTGCCAATGACTCCGATCATTATCAAGTGGGCGAAGCTAGACTATTTTTACATCACGAAATGGAAAGAATATATCGACCAATCAGAAAGCTGTACCGAAAACTTAATGAATTGTTGGGTAAGGCAACATTATCATTATCATTTGAACCATCAGTATATAAATGTAGAAATGTTTCATATTTTAACTGCAATTTCGAGAAGGATGAACATAATGTACAACTGTCAGTGTCGGATTTAACCATTTCATGAAGTGAAAGGTCAGCTTCAGATGAATCCAAGAGCCAGGGTGGAATTTCTATCGTTCCAAATGACTGACTTTGGTCGATATTAACATAAGTGTTATGTAAAGGAGCTGAAATCCGAATACCGAACGGTGGAATGGTCTTTGATTGTTGTGAAACAAAGTTTTATATTTTGGATCAAATACAAATGAAAAAGCAAGATTTGAAGGATTTGAGTTTAGCTGAATGGTGTATTGCAAAGTCAATTCATTTCGACGGCTATATAGTGATGGTTCGTTAGCCTCTACTTAGAGGTTTGCTATAGGTGTGATCTTAAATGCTCCGAGAGCGAGCCTCAGACCCTGGTGGTGAACAGTGTCTAATAATTTGAGATATGAAGGTCTAGCAGATCCATACACAATGGAACCGTAGGCGTTTACGCGTTTATAGTAAATTCCGACCTCTCAAAGAAATGTCTAAAAGATTTTCTGACTTCGGTTCGGTGAAGATGGGCGCATATTTACAAAAGATAAATATCAGCAACTTCATTATGAATATCAAAATACTGTATTGTCTTGAGTATTTCTCAGATAAGTTAATTTTTCCAATATCAACATTTATTATATTTTCTCATCGCTTTTTATTTTAAATCATCTGAGACGAAGTATATCGTTTACATTTTCGATTTCTTCTCAATAATAACAAATGACATTGACCTTCATTCAAGGTCACCGGGGTAAAATGTAAAACAAAATTTTACATGATTTTTTCTCAATAACCAAATGATCCAGGACCATGGTTTTAGATCAGTTGCATGCTGGGATAAAGGTCTACAAAGTTTGTTCGTATGAATGACCTTGACCTTCAATCAAGGTCACATGGGTCAAATATGCTGCCCTACAACTAAAGACAGCGTTATAAGTTTCGTTATAGTGAAAATTAAGCCTTCAACCTTTGTAAGTATGGTTAAATCAGTTCTGACATGTCTGCCACCAAGTAGGGACTGAATGACAGTTGTTCAAAGACATGGATACCTCAGGTGACCGTTTTTAGTGAAAGTTGCGTATATTGGGTTTTTGATTAATCTATATCTCTCTGTATATGGCCTGAAGTATGAACTGAGACCAACGGATGCAAGTTTCGTTATTTAAATACCACAAAACCCAAATATTATTGGACATATTCAAACCTCGTCAAACTTTCTGTACTGACGGTTTGTTTCAGACTTCCAATCCTTCAAGGCGTTTCCGGTGCTTTCATGGCACCATTACTATCACTGAAGACGGCAGGAGTGTGGTCATGTGACAGCACGAGTGACATGGAGTTTGGTAAGTCACGTGGTGTGACATGATTACAATTTATCCCACAAAGTCAACATACTTGAGCAAAAATCCTTGTAGGGAGTGCGGTCACAATGCAATAAGAGGTGTCGTGACATATAATATAGATAAAAAGAATGATATAGGTCCGTAGAAGCGGAAATAATGTCTTCGAAACTTGGAACTCTTTGTGTACAATTTTTATTTACTATCCAAAAACTGTGGTGCTATAAGGACGACATAAGAAAAATGCATGTTTTTTTATTTTTTTTTTACTTGATATTTGATTACGACATTCAATAATGATGAATGCACCGCTATTAAGAAAAAAGGAAAAACCTTTCAAGTCATCACGTCACATATGGCACGATTATATCATTAATTAAGCTAAATACATAAATCATGTGTTGTGTTTGAAGAGTTACAGCTAATTAATTAACTATTTTTTTTTCAGTTTCGACGTCAGCTAATCAAACGATGATTCAGAATATTACCATGGAAACACGACAGGAAATGGTTTACTACCGAGTAACACAGGTAACGCTCATGTATCTATTTAAGTAATTTAAATCTGATTTTATTTATTTATTAGAGCTTATTGCTGTGATCCTTACAAATCAAACTAATAAATTGGAGTCAAAGAACATACAACCATACAAACCATGTCACGATCTCTCACGCAAACTCCCGAGTGCCTGATAGAAAATATCATTGGAAAAAGATGTTTTGTTGTTTATAGAGTAAATAAATAAACAAGACAATACGGGCATGACAATAAACTCTGGTTTCAGTTCAAAATCAATAAATTCTATTCTGGATGTTCTTACTCTCCCGCATAATAAATTTAATAATAAAACAAACGTCATGGTTCGCAACAATTTATTAAAATATATATAGTTGTTATATCATTTGCAATAATTTCTAAAGAAATGCTACGGATGTTTTCCGATTTACGTGTCATTTTCCTCTCTTAGCTTCAAGGAAGTCTGATCGTTTCCGGTCTAATAACGGAAGTGTTCTTGGGAGCAACTGGCCTTCTGGGATACCTGGTAAACCTTGTGGGCCCCATTACAGTTTGTGTGACGATATCTTCAATAGGGCTATCGATGTACCCCATACCTATCATCTACTGCAGTACATTCCTACCTGTATCGCTTTGGTGAGTGGGATGGAGTCACGGAAAGGTCAATGTCAGTTTATATTGATATATAAGCTTATCAATATTTACATGATAAGATGTGTTGTAGTGAATTTGGTATATATTTTAAAATATTTTTTTGTTTGTTTTTGTTTTATCATAAATGAGAAATGGAAGCAAATAACCCTTAATAATAATGGTTTACGTAGTTTTATAGTATACAACACATATCAAGATATCTTATTATATTAGAATTATTTACTGTGAAATCATTAATTTTCGTGGGTTTTTATTTTCCTTGAATTCGAGGTACGGACCAACTGTTGAAACTAGTATAAATATGTTTATTTAGCTATAATTATCCACGAAATAGAATTTCAAAATTTCAAAAATAGAGCCAAACAAAAAAAGATGATTTTACGTATTGGGAATCAGGTACAAGACCATTTCCGACAGTAAGACCTCTCGCGCGCTTCCATCCCGGACTACCAGAATGATCCGTATTAGTTGGAAAACATGTTTTGCAATGGTTGTAAAATAAATATTTTCTAATTAATTTTATTATTTCCGTTGTCCAATTTTACTCGACGTTTTACTTCGTTGTCTCCCAGGCTCCCTTGCTATCGCGATAACTCGGCTAAAGCGCAGACCTACGTCACTTTAGGTGAAAATCTGAGGTGCGTGGTTGCCGACCTGTGACGCTAAGCGTTTCTCGAGAACCTGGAAATGCACCAGTCTTCGCTGTCACGGTTGTGTCCTTGAAAAAATATTTTACCGTAAATGCTCTATATGACATGTGACGGGCCTCCTATATGTTGATTAGTGAGGAAACCGCCAGCTTCTTCAAGGAGACACCGCCTCGAAATGACCCAGTCTGCTTCTCCAAGCATAATTGCTATGCATCTCTATATTGTTGACAATTACTGGGGTTGTTTATAGAAACTAGTAGAAGAGCTATGACATTTTTGTTAGGTGAGCGACCAACACTATCTTGTGACCTTGAATACACTAATGGAGCTTGTAAACATTTAGGACTATCATGTGTCAATATCTCCGACTATATAACATCACTGATTGTATATTACCAAGCATGTCCGAGTTGATAACTTGCTGCGAGATATATCTTCGTTTCATTGTTAAACTATCACCAACAAAAACCCTTGATCGTGTATTGATGTCCTGAATGGAGGAAGTGCGAATTGTAGCTGTTGTCTCTTTTGTATAACCGTAAGCGACAAGAACATTTCTGTTCTCCATTTTTTCCTGCTTCCTGATATAGCCCTTGATAATGCCCCTTTTTCACATTTGCACTGATCATCTTCTAAATGAGGAAAGTAAAAAAAAAAAAAAAAAGGCGCTGACTACCCTCTGCTTGAAGTTAATATGTTGAGTTGACAGTAAAATCAGGTTGGTCCGTTATCAGTATTATAAGTCTGGGCGGACCTATATGTTACTGTGTTAAGATCACGGCATTTCAGTGTGACGGCGCTATAAAAGAGTTCGTCATAGACTCTTTCATCTTTGAAAACAGTCTTCAAATAACTTTGGTTGTTCCTTTATGGTCACGAACGGTTGAACGAACGACATACCAACAATACTGATATATTCCCAGCTATGTTCATCCTGAGACTTTCTCTACTTTCACAGCTCTGTGGTCTTAATGGTTTTGTGCATTATGTATCTCTCACGGATCCTCGTCCCGATACCCACAATGCAATGTAACAGGAAGAAGTCTGAACAGGCGGCTGGAAAAGTAAAATTGCCCTTCTTCCAGATATTTCCTGTAAGTTATTTTTTTATTTTTTTTCTGTTGTATTGTTGCTGATGTTTTTTCTGTTTTTTTTTTTTTTTTAGATTCGTAAGGAAGTTCAGAGTTTAGACCTTTGATTTAGATCAGTATAGAACACGTTACTTTTAAATCACTGATGACGTCATCTTTTTTGTTGTTTTCGTAACATATATTGTTTTCTTTATTGACAACATAATTATTTCAAAAATAAAAGCAACATATATGGGAAGGGAGGTAATTATGTCAAGTCCCTATTTTTATTCCCTGTATCTTAGTCTTAAAAGAGTTACGTTCGGCGCTCGCGTCATTTTTTCATATCATTATATTTCGGATTTCTTTGCATCTTTATTGTGTCCATTGATGACGTAACCGTTTTTATGTACTAGATATTCATCACGGTGATATTAATGTGGGCGGTTTGTGGTGTGTTGACCATCACGGGGTCGTTGCCTGATGACCCCAGTGAGCCCTCCTATCGTGCCCGGACAGACACACGTGGAGATCTCATATCTTTGTCACCGTGGTTCTTCTTTCCATATCCAGGTAACCTTCTAAGACAGTTGAGAAAATAGCATTTGGTTGATTTTCTTGTTCGGAGATTGTTGTCCAACAAATGGCGTACTACGTGATGAATCTGTACGATCTGTGAAACAAACATTTATAAAGGTTATACTGAGACGACAACCTTCTATTTTGATTATTATAAATTTCCAGATTTTAAAAGCTAAACTGACGTCATCCCAGAGACGCATAAGCTATTATATGCTAAGGTCATCCCAAAGTGTTTCAACAACAATAACAGACATGTTTCTAAGTAACACTCGCATAACGTCACTTCCAGGTCAGTTTGTCCTAATCTGTTTCTAACTGAAACTCGTATGACGTCATTTCCAGGTCAATTTGGTCCTATCCGATTCAACACAGCGGTTTTCATAGGGTTTATAAGTTCCTATCTTTCCTCTAACGTTGAGTCTATTGGGGATTACATGATTGTCTCTCGGGCCACCGGCACTTTTCCCCCACCTCGCCATGCAATCAACCGTGGAATACTGACAGAAGGAATCCTGGGGGTTGTGGCGGGAGCCCTGGGGGCCGGGCATGCCACTACCTCATACAGTGACAATGTTGTTATCATCAAACTTACACAGGTGAGAAAAGTGCCTATTGACTTTTTTAAAATTGTGTCATATGTAAAAACAAATAAATATGAACCTAAAATGTTTTAAGTTTTGAAAATTATATGATATCGTTAGTGTATTAGAAAAAATAATGTGCCAAATTAAGAACTTCATATTCGACATCAATATTGTTTGTTTTGCCGTTATATATTTGAAAATTTGAAATCTTTACACTTATGGATTGCTAAAATTATGAATATTGTTCACAAAACAAGAAATATTCCTCTTAATTAACTCATTATCTGTCTATTATATCCTCAAGGTAGCTAGCCGAAGTGTGATGGTTTTAGCAGGTGTCATCTGCATGCTCTTCGCAATAATTGGTAAATTCGGTGCAGTCATGGCGTCACTTCCGGATCCGGTTATTGGAGGCGTAACTTTAGTATTATTTGGCTTGTTGGTATCCATAGGATTGTCATCGCTACAGCGAGTAAACCTTTCATCCACTCGGAATCTTGCTGTTCTGGGAACATCGTTGTATGTCGGTTTAGTTGTTTCCGAATGGTTGAAAATCAACAAAGATCTCATTAATACGGGTAGGTGGACTTCTTCAACTAGTGACAACCAGATATACAGGGACGCAAGTGAGGATTAATATCATTTGAAATCAATATTGTCTCTTTAATAATTTATGTATTTAATGCATAAGCAGTCTGCTATTCTATTAATTTGCTACTCTAACTACTGTAATATACCCTGGCGCTTTTTCATTGGCTGTGCCAGTAAACCGATTGTGATGTCATATTATCCACTATGACGATAATTCTAAGGGTTCTGTATTTAAATCACGTTCTTTATAAATTACACCTGCTTATCTCCCTTGTACAGGTAATGCCTCCCTGGACCAGGTGATCAAATTGATTCTCGGAACACAGATGTTTGTAGCGGGACTTACTTCAATAATTCTCGATAATACTGTTAAAGGTTGGTGTTACTGTGGATGTTAGTAATCTTTCTAATGTCAGTGTCACTTTATTTTAGATATGTAATGTCACTTCATTTTAAGAGATGAGTTGGAACAGTCTTAAGAACAGGGTAATAATATTTGAACAATGCGGACGCCATTGTTGTTGTATGTGATACCTGAAATGCCGAAAAAAATTATCTGTGTGGGTGGAGGCTCTGATACTGAAACAATACGAAACCCGAAGAAAGGCTTATGAACTTGTATGCAAATTACTTCGTTTAATGTCATTGTCATTTTTACATAAATCTTTCGGTCGAATGAAGAAATGTAGAGCTTCTCTTTAAATGATTAATGAATGCATACAGTAACTTGTTAAAACATATAAGCCGAACGGATAGTCGTTATTTATTTTTCGCAAAATAAATTTTGAAAAAATGAAACTGAAATGGTATTCTAGAAAATCGGTTTGTGGTCTGGAAGGATTTTTCTATTTAACGTCATCAAATGAAATATGTCATTACATCTGTGTATTATCAGAAACAATAATAGATGTCACCTATTTTACAACTTAAGTTTTTTTATTCACTTGAAAATGCTGATTTATTTATCAAATGAATTGAATACATTGATATATGAATACATTATATCGGTAAGCTTATTATAAATAAAATCTTACACGTTGCTTCGTTTCAACTTTTTGTAGGAACAAAAAAAGAAAGGGGAATGGACGCTATGACATCTTTCAAAACCGGATGCAGAAATGATGTTGATAAACATCAGTCCGTGTACGATATTCCGGGATTATCCAAGTTACAACAGAAAATCAGAATTCTGCGTCATATTCCGTTTATTCAACCCTACAGACCTCAGTGACAAAAATGGTGAAATGCTTACAAACAGATGAAACAGTAACACCAACACGGACATCGCCAGTGGACGAACGCGGTTGGAAGTGTTCACACATAACATAATTTACAAACCACGTTTATTTGTTGTGACTATTCCACAGTTTGCCTGAGGAGTACATAATTTAGAAACGTCATTGCCTCTGTAAAGCTGGACCATTAAATGATTATCCCAATTATATCTTAAAATCACGCATTCCTCTTTCAGAATTGTCGTTTTGATCGCAGTGTATTTAGAAGTAGTATGAAGACAAACGAGTAGATAAGGTATGTGATATGTTGCCTTACTCTTCTTGCTGTCAAATCCCCTCCACTTCCCATGACGTCTTGTATAATAAGATGACAAAATATACTTTTGAATTCGAAACGCTATATTTCATAGGTCCATTTCATTGATTCGAGTACATATACTTAATGTTTCGTTGTTTGCACTTAAAATACAGCTTTTCGATCTGTCCACATAATGATGATTGAAAGAGTATATAGCAAGACGCGTGTCTGTTGGCATTTCTTTTTTGTATGAATGGAGTATCTGTTTTACACATAAAATATTTAAATATTTTACCATGTACACAAACAACCAATGATAACAGACTAACCAGGAAGGGGATATATTATTCTATTCTGTTTTACATTTCCGTTGGTATGAAAGATGAAACCTTTTTGCAAATTTCCCCTACGAGCATATTTTCAATTTGTAAATAAGTTTTTCTTTCATATCAGCATGAAACTAAATAATATTCCAACCAAAGCTTAAATCAAAATTTCATTTCCTCTTGGTCTTGTAAATCATCACATCAAAATTGTTTCGGTAAAGTGAGAAACAAACGATGGAAAATACCGTATGAGGTACATTAATACGGAAACATGCAAGATTTCTGTCGGTTAGAACGACGAGAAAAGTGAACATGACTCCTGTGAAGGGTTTAGTTTTACTAATTTGCTGCTCACCACAGCAGCAGAGAACAGAGAAATAAACGGAGGTTGTGAGAAAGTTTGACAATACAAAAAGACGATATTAGACCAAATCTTTTCATTTTGTACAAAAAAATAAGTGAATCACATTGGAAGTACAATACTACAGGAATCCTACTTTTATATATATTCAACTTATGACAGAGCCATTTACGGGCATTTTTATAGTGTAATCACACTGAAATGTCATAAACAAACTTCAGATACTAATACAACTCTGGTCACTCTGTACTGACAACGGGTTCATCTGTCGTAGGTACTAAGTCATTTAAAGTTGTACGTAGCAGGTTCCAAATACGTCGATTTGCTAAAAATAAGGATAAAACACATTTCAACCACTGGAACATTAAGCTTCAATGTTCCATGTCCGAAAGTAGGAAACGCGTATCAGCCAAAATAAGATATATGAACATTATATTTTGGATTGTGGTTTCTTTCGTGGCTTAAGTCGAAGTTTGAATGTTTCCGCCGGAATATCCGAGTCCCAGACACCACGCAGAACCAACATGGCGGCAAGCCGTCCGATCTCATCGCCGGATTTTGCTGCATAACCATTGCCTCCGATTGCCACACCGATTCCTGAATGGACAAGGTCGATATAGGGGTGACCTGTTCGAGTCTCCAGAATCACGCATTGGTCACCATGATAAGACTTTGCCTTGATATCTGTTCCAATACAATGTTACAAAAAATGTGAAGAAAGAACTTGATTTCTTTCAAGTAACCGTATATACATTCTCCACAACGCCTCAAAAAGACACTTGTCATTTATATGCAATTATTCAAAACGCATTTCCGATTGGATGTAAACATAACACGCCATGACAAAAACAACACGAAAATATCGATATGTCAACAGGTTCATGATTCAAACTCAAAATATACTTAAAAGGTCATAATATGAACGAAAGAGTTGGCGGAGACACCTGAACAATTTCACGGAATATGAAAAAATATATTGCTACTACTGGAAAAATGTTTAAAATTTTGTTCAATTCACATTTGAAATTTTTTATTTTCTCTAACCACTTGTAAACGTTGACCAAGCTTTACGCACCTGGAGCCTGATCTGTCTTAGATGTTGTCGACTGATAAAATTTAATTTCCAACTTGTTTATTATCATAAACCCCTTATATCTTATAAAACGCATGTTTTTAAAGGAATGGTGTAGTGAGAAAGTTAATACCAGAAGTCTTCATCTTTAAAACGCTTGTAATCTATTACCTTTCGTCATGGCGGTGATCAGCCGCGCAGATTCTGTTGCTAAAGAGGACTTGCCGTCGCCACAGTACCACGCTTTCACCTCCGCAAGGGTCGTCAAACGCTGAGACACGGAGTCCGCAAAATTACCAAGCTTTATATAATGTTTACCTGTAAGATCAGACCCTATTGTTGTATAGCTGTGTTTTACTTCGGTGTCTTAACCTTTCATTACAATATCGAATACATTGCACTATTAGTCATTAGTTACGAAAGATCTTTACAGAAATACAAGCAGTCATCCATGATTGTAGAGGGCAGGGCTAAGCTGATACCTTCTATGGAGACATTTATAGTTTTGTAACTTTCCAAGTAACTTTCACATCCTCGTCAATAATGAGAAATTGTACAGCTCTTTTATTAATTTAATTTACTACAGGTTATATTTAATACAAGACGTGATCTATAAAGAAATCGATTCATTTTAATCTACCGATAAATTAATTTATTACAGGCATTGCTTTAGGGTATCGAGTCAGTAACATATTCGATATTTCGAAACATAATCTTCATGTTGGTAATGTCAATAGAATATAATGTCATAAAACACGTTCAGTAGCAGATTTCAGTGTGCCGTGTTGATGCCTACGCGGTCATCTCCAGTGTGAAGCGTATAACGTGCGTCAGTGCTAGGACGCTCCACACTGGTCGTTTGTCTGATGGGGGTGACCGTGTAGATATCGTACACTACGTACGTCAGTGCTAGTACGCTCCACACTGGTCATTTGTCTGTCGGGGGAAAATAATAAAATAACGAACGATTTCTATGCTATATATCTAGTCCGCCTGTTTGAAATCTCGAAGTGACGCAGATCATATTGACGACGACCACCATATTGCTGTCCATGACGTCGTGCTGGCGTTTATAGAAATATAGACGGCCATCATGTGAATATTCGATAGAATGCGCAGATTTTCTTCCAAGATAAAACAAATTATACGAGGAGAACATGTAGATAAAAGATTCATAGAGAAAAGGCAGAAACGAACAGTAGATATACCTTACAGAGAGACAGACAGACAGACAGACATTCTTTATTTCCTCAGTAATGAGATTTTTGTACAGGCATGCCAAGTTAGTTTTTCAAAGCAGTTCTTTTTTACACATTAATAAGGTTATTAATTTCACACATCATATTATGCACAAAATTAGCAATGTTCAACATCAGAATTTTTCGAAACATAATCTTCATGTTGGTAATGTCAATAGAATATAATGTCATAAAACACGTTCAGTAGCAGATTTCAGTGTGCCGTGTTGATGCCTACGCGGTCATCTCCAGTGTGAAGCGTATAACGTGCGTCAGTGCTAGGACGCTCCACACTGGTCGTTTGTCTGATGGGGGTGACCGTGTAGATATCGTACACTACGTACGTCAGTGCTAGTACGCTCCACACTGGTCATTTGTCTGATGGAGACAATAATAAAACAACGATTTCTATGCTATATATCTAGTCCGCCTGTTTGAAATCTCGAAGTGACGCAGATCATATTGACGACGACCACCATATTGCTGTCCATGACGTCGTGCTGGCGTTTATAGAAATATAGACGGCCATCATGTGAATATTCGATAGAATGCGCAGATTTTCTTCCAAGATAAAACAAATTATACGAGGAGAACATGTAGATAAAAGATTCATAGAGAAAAGGCAGAAACGAACAGTAGATATACCTTACAGAGAGACAGACAGACAGACAGACATTCTTTATTTCCTCAGTAATGAGATTTTTGTACAGGCATGCCAAGTTAGTTTTTCAAAGCAGTTCTTTTTTACACATTAATAAGGTTATTAATTTCACACATCATATTATGCACAAAATTAGCAATGTTCAACATCAGAATTGACCATTTTCCGTCGTCTTGCTCGATATCCGCTCTACAACCAAGAAGGAAGTAACTCTTTCTGTGATCGTCCAAATTGTCAAAATATACATAATCGTTAACGTCAAGAAAGTTGACCAAATAGTCTAATAGTTGGTCACGATTGGTGAACAGACTTGGACATTGAACAAGAAAATGTACTGCTATGTTGTCGGCGTGTCTTCTACATAATTTGCAAATCACGGGTTCTTTCTCATGGCGATAGGCCAATTTGATCAGCTCTCCTAGTATCCATGTAGAATGAGGAAATACTAGGTCTAGAGACCATAGCGGGCGAGGACCGTATCCACTGTGGACCGACGCATACATTTTCAGTACATCGGATTTCTCTATTTCGCCGAGCCATTTCACGTGATAGAAATCACAGACTGCCCTTTTGCAGAATACTCCCCATGACCTACGCGTGGGTAGGAAGTCTTCGAAAATGAAGTCGAATAGACTTGTCGATATACCATAGTTTGACGCGATTGTGAAAATGTCGTGAATGAAACTTCTCGGACTTAATAGGTTTCCACTAAATGCAAATTTACATAGCCAAATGATGAAAAGAGCTTTCCAGATAAGTGTACTGCTTGCTAAGCACAATTTATTCCAAGATATAAGCTTTCTTATGTCCACTTCACCACAAATATCAAGAAGCCCAATTGCTCTAGTAGTTACTAAAGTTTGGGACCTTGTCCCAAACCCATGGCATCTACGCGCCGCGTATCTTTGGGTGACGCGGAGCTCCTCATGCGACCGTGCGGTTGGATTTGCCCATAACTCAGAGCCATACAGAATTCTAGACTGAACTATTGATTCCACGAGTTTGCAGCTGTTCAGAGGGTTCATACCGTCATTATGTATCCCTACACTTATAAGCGCGTTCAAAGATTGCCTTCCTTTTGCGCATGCCCTTTTGACTTCCTCGTCACACTGTAGTTTGGGGTTAGCGTAATTCCCGCGTATTCTTTTTTTGTTACCCAATCAATTGACTGCTCGCCAAGATTGCATTTAATGCTTGGGACACGTTTCGTCCGCCTATTGTGCAATTGTAGTAGTGAACTCTTCGCAGGATTATAGTTCAATCTCCATTTCTGAGAGAATTTAGACACTATGTCGAGTAAGCATTGAATGTTGCCTATGGAACACGATAGGAGCAATGTATCGTCTGCCAGGAACACGGACGGTACGTGGAGACCATGAATGTGTAGACCGAGATTAGAGGAGTCAAGTTCAGAGATTAGGTCGTCGATCATTACTAAATACATCCAGGATGACAGAGTGCGACCTTGACCTACGCCCTGCATGACCTTGTACGTGTTTCCCTTTTTACCCTCGTGAAGCACACAAGCCGTTACATCCGAAAAGGAGTTACATAAAATGCACCACATTTTGCTATTAAATTCAATCTTATAAAGTTTATATAGCAGACCATTGACCCACACGCTATTAAACGCCTTTGCATTGTCCAAGAAAGCTGCATACGCATTTGTGCCTAATTCTAGATGGTGACAAATTACTTCTTTCACAGTAAAAGCAGCCGTGATGCTTCCACAGTTTGATCGAAAACCTTGTTGCAGTTTATGTGGAAAGTTTATATTCTCGCATATTTTAAAGATTCTCTTGTATAACACTTTTTCAAACAATTTTTGAAGTGCGGGAGTTAAGGTTATGTCTCTATAATTGTTCATGTCTAGCCTATCCTTTTTTTCCTCCTTTAAAAAGTGAAATAACAATTCCATGTTTAAAGGACGGCGGATAATCTTCGATTTCTAGTATCGAATTAAACAATCCTGAAATTATGTTCAACAAGTGCATACCGGCATAGCGAATGTGTTCCACGACGACATAATCATGCCCTCCAGCTTTACCATTCCTCGTGTCTTTTAGTGCGTTAGAAACTTCCACTGGTGTGATGCTTTCCTGACACACTATATCTTCGTTGAAATACGAGCTAATACGTAGGCGGTTAATATCACGATCAAAATGTCCACTATAGTGTCCATGCGTCAAGGTTCGTCTCCGGGTCACGAGATATCACGCCATTTACTCTTATTTCTGATGAGTCATATTTACTTATTTTCCAAGCACGAACTGTTCGGTAAAAGGTACCTGCATCCATCTCCGCTGCCACTTGTAATTCTTTTAATTGCTTTTGTTCGTATTCTTCAGCTTTATGCAAGACATTGACAACATCCTTCACTTTTCTTTCTAGACATTGACAAGATCCTTCACTTTTCTTTCTAGTAACACGATATCAGAGGTCGCTGCTTGCACAATCGTAGATTCACTCAGCATTTTAGAGACGCACGCACTATAATTCGAAATTTGTTGCTCAGAACTCATTTATAGAATGGATATTTCTTTCGCGCTTGCGTACAGCAGTAGGAAAGTTATACCGCACACGCAATGGTAAGTGATCTGAAACATTCAGATAGTGTTCGTCCATGGTGTTACATTCATATACACAGTCGACTCGTCGCGACTGAACTAAAATGTGATCTATGAGAGACCCATTGCCATCTTTTGAAACAGTTGACATACCGCCAATTGCCCATTCCTGAGAATTCATTGACACCATGTTTTTGTCAACAAGGAAATGTTCTAGTAAGCGACCTCTTTCATTTGCTTTGTCGTGATTCTTACTACCGAACCGTTTGCTAATCTGGGCATTAAAGTCACCAACGATAATTATATGACCTTCTTCGGCAAATCGGTCATACAAATCCGATTTGTATTCCAGTGTTTCCTTATAAACATGCAGTGGAACATTGGTGGATGGCATCAGAGTACCTATTAAAATGACATTTGTTCGGTCATGGAGTTGAACAGAGCAGCATATTACCCTGTCACTACCCTCACTGAGAATTGGGCAAACATTTAAATCCTTTCTCCACATTATAGCCAATCCGCCAAAGCCCCGATTACATGTTCTATTGTCCAGCTCAATAGGAATACGACTATCACTTACACCATAAGCGTTAAAAGCAGAGTCAACAGTATGTAGGAAGTTCATTTGTTCAGGGAGCAGCCAATGCTCAGTTACTACAGCAATATCAGTCTCTCGAAGAAGTTCTGATAACAATGGAGTTCCGTACATGACACCCCGAATGTTCCAACAGAGAACCGTGAATATGACGCAGAGAAAGCACGAGTACACGCGTGAGATGATAACTTTCAGTTCCATGATGTCTGATAAGGACGCGATATGTCGTTGAATCGATTAAGATATTCCCATTCCCGGACAAGAACGTTTTCAGGCCAGAAGGACGGGTCTATTGCCTTTTCAAAGTCACATTCTCGAACATTTAACCTAGCTGTATATCTTCCCTAGTTGAAACTCTCATTTGTCGTGACGTGGCATTTGGCGCCATTCCTGTCTCTTAACTTTTAATTATACACGTGTTGGTCTCCAATGTGGGTAACCTTATTCTTCCTTCGCTTCATTTAGAATCTGTTACTGAGTGTCCCTGATACTCAACAGTCAATGCACGTGAATAAAAAATACAAATAATAGTTACGAAGGATCTTAAAAGGACAACCATCTGTAAATAGCATATTTAACTTTGCATTATTTTAACCAATTATGAAAATAACTTACCATCCGGGTACTTGATGGGTGGGAGTACATATATACCTATAAGGTTTGTGGAATTGCGTGGATAATTTTCAGGCCAGTCTGGTGCACCTTGACCATAGTAGAGGATGGACGGCATATTCCTGGGATAACAATGGATACACATGTAATAAGTAATATTTTGAGATCTTGCAGAATCATCACGTGACTTAAAATAGTGTAGTTATCGAGTAATACCAAAGACCTAATTTAAATACGTGAAGCCGCGCATGGTCGGCGTTGCTGAAAAATTGAACTTTGATTGGTCAAAGTGAATTCGGTATCATTATTTTACCTTGGAGCTTAAATAAATAAAAGTGTGACAGAAAATTATCAAGCTCTTTGGAATAAGTGCAAATATTATGGGATATCATGTAAAAAGACTTACTCTAAGTGCTTGACGTCATTTTCATTGACCTCGACCTTGGCTACGGTAAGCGGACAGAGCGTTACATCCGGTTCTGTTTCAGTCCACAGAAGGTCTCTAAATGTCGTAAAAGAGCCCGTGGCAAGGAGAACCCGACGTGATACAATCTTCCGACCACCTTCAGTCAGCACGGACATGAAAATCGTTCCGTTCATTTGTTCTTTCGTGATCTTACAGACAACGTCATCGATGACGTCACATTGAAAATTCATTGCCACCCGTTTCTGTGCATTAATCATAGCTCTAGGATTGATGTAGCCGGATCTGGTCTGTTCATATATTGCGGCGTCTGTCCTTGACAGGTTCAGGTAGGGAAAACGTTTTTTAAGCATTTCCGGGTTGAGATATTCATGTTTAATACTTTGGGACGAAACTGTATCCCGCGTTTGTGACATGAAATGTCCTTGGGCTTTACCAGCCATCAGACAACCAGTCTCCATGTAAAATGCAACGCCTTTTGTGAAGAAAAAGAATGATACATGAGAATACAGATTGTAAAATGAAACAGCACATATGGGTACACTGCCTTAAAGATATTATTCATCACAAAAACGAATTGACATTATACAGTTCTTTTTTCCAAGTTCAGTGAAATCAGTTGATGAAGGCCACTGACACAGGAGTGGTTGCTATACAGAGGTCAATAACTATAGATTATATTGTGATATTAAGCGAAACGAGATACTTTTAAAGAAATATTTTTGTATACTTTGGTACATGTTTTGTTGTATCAATATTTCATATTTAATACTTTGTATATTTCGTCTTAACGAGTATACAAATATCTACACGTGAACAATACTTTGTACAAAAGATACATAAGTGAGCAGAATATAGAATTTCAGAGTAAGATTATAAGCAGCCAATTAATGAATATATCCTACAGTTGTTACGTCTTGCTAGGACAAGGATGTCAATGACCTATATTGTTGAAGCCAAGGAAGTCACTATTCTGATCTCTAATACCTTCCAGAGGCTACTGCGTGGTAATGGCGTCTGTCTGTCTTTTTTGACTTGCCTCTCACCTCTGGGTCGCGGTTACGAGGCGTACAGGGAAATGTTGCCAGGTACTGGCCGCAGGTCTGTAGTTTTTTCTGCGGGAATTTACGCGTCCCTCCAGTAACCAAATCTTGCACGTTCTCAAATGACTCTGGCTGTTGATATGACTTAAAGGAACAAGTAACCAATATCCCAGAGATACGTCCCTCATCTATGAAATGGTATAGCGAGAAGCTTGATAACAGATAGAAGCCGAGAATGAGAACTTCCGGCTTAGTCCAACAAAAAACTTACCGGAAGTAGTCTCCAGATCTCTGCGCTAATGCGGCCCACACTGGGTCAGGATCAGAGCACCTTGTAATCCGCCCTTCATCGTAATGTGCGCCAAATATCTCCCTTGTGGATTCAAGGCTCCTTTCCTAGTAAAAAAAGAAACTATTAGGTGTAATTCGTAATACAATATGATGTTGACAAATATTAATGGGTTATATCTAAAATTTAGAGGGATGGATTGAATTTGAAAGACATTTTGTTTAAAACACATATTACAATATGCTGAATCAGCAGAGTTATTCCCCTTTCTCGAAAGTTGTATTCAAAAGTGGCAAATTAAAGAAATAACTGATGCGTGTCCCATCAACTACGGCTTCATGATCCTACAACACATTCAATATCTATCATGTTTACGAAGGGAGTTCGGTGTCAATAATAGAAGCAATTTTTAAACTTATGTTTGTATTTCGAAATGAGGTGAAGGTAGAGGTGGTTATGAATGAGACCGCAGATATACAATTTTCTAGCGTTCATTTTCTAATTATTATGGGAAAAAACTGTCATATCATAATAGTCTGATGATGGTGACGAAGCATTTTACAAAAGACATTCAAATAAAAAAAATCAATATAAATTTCAAATCATTAGAACAAATTTGAAGAATGGTCGAGAGTAAATGAAGATCAGATACTATTCATTGTCGACAGGTTTGATGATTATCAAAATTCTCACAAAAATCCATAATATGTAATTTTCAAGGAAAGTGAATAATGCTCAGATTCTTTACAAAAACGTTTGCAGAAAAATGGAATAAATCAAACCGAAAGAAGTTATCAATAATCACGTGAACTGAATAGCCCGAAAGTCACTTTTGTTTATTTTTTTTTTGTTTTGTTTTGTTTTTTTGTTTTTAGTTTTTTTTATGTTTCTTATCTTTTCAAACATGTATAAGCATGTATGTAATTATTATCATTGATAGTTTTCTAACGAAAACGTTAACTTCAATGTTTGACTGTACTGAAAAAAATAATGTTCATGTAACTGCAGTTGTTGTGATTGACCGGAAGTGGTATACTATACCAGAGGCTGTGTAACCGGATGTTTCTTACCTGTGGTTCCTCCGGTCCTATGAGACAAACTTTAGTTCCGTTTTGCTGGGAGGCGTGTCGAGCCGCCGCTGATCCAATTAGTCCCGCTCCAATCACGCACAAGTCGTACATGGCTAGGTTATAATATTATGATCGTGCGTGCCGTGTGTCTCCGTGAAACCTCTAGAGGTAACCTTTACCAAGCATCTGTATACGGATAACATATTGTCAACAATATACATTTAGAATATCATGATCTACCACTGACCGGCCAGGTCGGTGGTGTAAGTTCAATATTATCTTATCGGACCCCTGTAAGCCTATACGTTAACTATCTACTGAGAGTGCATTTGTGAGCATCATCAGTTGATGAAGTGGCTGATTATAAAACGGATTTTTGGCCTGTACCTGATGAGATAAATTTACTTAATCTTTAATTTATTTACAAATATACAGCTTTGCAATGAGTAATATATGTATTATATAAGTAATATTCATTATTTATTTAATTTTAGTAGAAATACTTTTTTTTTTGTAACACAACAAGTTTTTGGGTCCAAATATTATGACAGAAGTATGTTACATTGTGTTATAAAATACAGGAGGTTAAATAAGAGTAGTTCATTTATATAGTGAGGTACAGGTAGAGGTGTCATGCTGAGTTATCTCCCCCTAGCTGAAGGGATGGGACTAATCATACCTTACCTCAGCCAGGTGTCAGACTGAGTTATCACCCCCTAGCTGAAGGGATGGGACTCAACATACCTTACCTAAGTCAGGTGTCAGACTGAGTTATCACCCCCTAGCTGAAGGGATGGGACTCAACATACCTTACCTAAGCCAGGTGTCATGCTGAGTTATCTCCCCCTAGCTGGAGGGATGTTACTGATCATACCTTACCTAAGCCAGGTGTCATACTGAGTTATCTCCCCCTAGCTGAAGGGATGGGACTAATCATACCTTACCTTAGCCATGTCATGCTGAGTTATCTCCCCCTAGCTGAAGGGATGGGACTCAACATACCTTACCTAAGCCAGGTGTCATACTGAGTTATCTCCCCCTAGCTGAAGAGATGGGACTCAACATACCTTACCTAAGCCAGGTGTCATGCTGAGTTATCTCCCCCTAGCTGAAGGGACGTTACTGATCATACCTTACCTAAGCCAGGTGTCATACTGAGTTATCTCCCCCTAGCTGAAGGGATGGGACTCAACATACCTTACCTAAGCCAGGTGTCATGCTGAGTTATCTCCCCCTAGCTGAAGGGATGTAACTGATCATATCTTACCTAAGCCATATGTCATGCTTAGTTATCTCCCCCTAGCTGAAGGGATGGGACTCAACATACCTTACCTAAGCCAGGTGTCATACTGAGTTATCTCCCCCTAGCTGAAGGGATGGGACTCAACATACCTTACCTAAGTCAGGTGTCATGCTGAGTTATCTCTCCTAGCTGAAGGGACGTTACTGATCATACCTTACCTAAGCCAGGTGTCATACTGAGTTATCTCCCCCTAGCTGAAGGGATGGGACTCAACATACCTTACCTAAGTCAGGTGTCATGCTGAGTTATCTCCCCCTAGCTGAAGGGATGTAACTGATCATATCTTACCTAAGCCAGGTGTCATGCTGAGTTATCTCCCCCTAGCTGAAGGGACGTTACTGATCATACCTTACCTAAGCCAGGTGTCATACTGAGTTATCTCCCCCTAGCTGAAGGGATGGGACTCAACATACCTTACCTAAGCCAGGTGTCATGCTGAGTTATCTCCCCCTAGCTGAAGGGATGTAACTGATCATATCTTACCTAAGCCATATGTCATGCTTAGTTATCTCCCCCTAGCTGAAGGGATGGGACTCAACATACCTTACCTAAGCCAGGTGTCATACTGAGTTATCTCCCCCTAGCTGAAGGGATGGGACTCAACATACCTTACCTAAGTCAGGTGTCATGCTGAGTTATCTCTCCTAGCTGAAGGGACGTTACTGATCATACCTTACCTAAGCCAGGTGTCATACTGAGTTATCTCCCCCTAGCTGAAGGGATGGGACTCAACATACCTTACCTAAGTCAGGTGTCATGCTGAGTTATCTCCCCCTAGCTGAAGGGATGTAACTGATCATATCTTACCTAAGCCAGGTGTCATACTGAGTTATCTCCCCCTAGTTGAAGGGATGGGATTCAACAGGTGTCATGATGAGTAACAAAAAGATACAGCAAAAGGCAAATGTCATACAAAACATCTTAGACGCTATCCAGGACTGGGTTGACCAATGGCGATAAAAATCCGAAAAAAGAAAAAAAAGTATAGCCCTATCCTTTTCGAGAAAAGAGAAATGTCAAGAAATATGGTTTGGCGAAAATTAACATGGAATCCACACATTAAAAATACAAAAGAATGCTGCAAAAATACATTACACATTAACATATATCTCTGGAAATAAATTAGGCTCAAACAAACTTACCCTATTAACTTTGTATAAAGCAATTATTAGATAAAAATTAAACTATGTCTGTCAAGTTTACTATTCGGCTTCTGATAATGCATAAAGGATTTAAAATCCTTAAGCGCTTTTAAATACACCTCGTCAATAAGCATGATCTCTGAATCTGGCGAATCACCATTAGAATTAAGGAGGAAAGGACTCGTACTTCCGCATTGGGTTAGAACTCAAGCACACCCGATTTCCCGCCAAATAAAATAGTCACAGAGGTTAGACAAAGTTTAAAATTGAAGAAATTATTCCAAATACAACTCCGCCCTGGAAATTAGACACTCCCGGAATTAGTACCGAAATTTTAGACAAAACCAACAAAAAAGAAAATCCAGCAGAAACTAGGGCAATTGCATCATCTATAACTGACGAATTGACGGATAAAAAAATCCACAAACGAACAGAGTAGGGTTAGGTATTTATTCCGAAGAAAACAACATCGCATTATCACTCAGACCGACCAATCAGTGCTCCGTTTATATCAGTGAAATCATTGCTATAGAATTAGCAATTATTAACATCATCAATAATAATCAAAATGTCCACAAACATCGGTAAGTCTTACAGTCTTTAATATATCGGTTAGATAAATGATTAAAACATTAGATAATACCAACAAAATTTATACAAAGTTAGATGCCACAAGCCATCGTTGAAGATAGGACCCTGTGACTAGCTAGGCGGAGATTCTATTGGCCTGGCCTGGAAAAAGATGTCTGTCGCAAGGTAGAGCATTGTGGTAGATGAAATAGAAAGTAACCCCCGTGTGACCCGTGGCTGGGTTAGTCCCCATTGAAACCACTTAGCCTAAACTTTTTGAGTTTAGAAGAGCCCAAGCGTGACAACAAAATCATCCTAGTAATCACCGATCACCTCACGTGCCGCAACCAAAACCAGCTATAACAGCAAAAACATTATACGAACACTTTATCGTTCATTAGAGCTTCCCTGAAAAATTGCTGTCTGATCAGTACAGGGATGTCTGTAGCAAAATCATTAGGGAACTATGTGGGGTTAAGGAGGTTTGCACCATTCCATACCATTTCATAGGTGATATCTCGGTAAAGCGGTTTAACCAGACTCTCCTAAAGCTGCTGGCTGCCTTAGAGGATGAACAAAATTCCGACTGGAAAAGCTATGTTGTCTGGCCTACAGTGCCACTTAGAGTGACACGACTGGTTACGCTCCACACGTCCTAATGTTTGGCTTTGCATCCGAAGCTGCCCGTTGATGCATTCCTTGGTATTGCTATCCCACTGTCCGGCAACCATGATACATATGTCGAACGACCGAGGCAGAGGTAAGAGTATGCTTATACGGCAGCAGCTCGAGAATGTGGTAAGGAAACCACCCTCGTGCACGAGAGTGAATACTAAGTGTGGGTGATCGAGTACTGGCGAGAAATGTAGGATTCCAGGTCAGACATAAGCTCTTAGAGAAATGGGAGTAGGATCCATACATTGTTGTCTCAGTATATAAAGATGGGTTACCTGTGTGTGAGATGGAGAGGGAAGATGGTGTTGGTTCCATGCGCACATTCCATAGGAACATGCTGTTGTTACTTATAGCGATTCCGACTGGCATAGCTGGGAATGATATTGTGGCGAATCGCAACGTCCGCTAAGAAAAAATTCAGTAGAATGGAGTGCTGATCGGAACGGATTTCCAGCTCCGAGACGAAGACGGACAGTTCAAGTATGGTTAGTGACAGGTATGTCTTCCCTCAGAGGAGAATACCCAAGAGGGTAGTCTCCCCTAGCCTGCATGGAACCCCTGGACCGGTTAGGTGTCCTTAGCCGTCCCGAGTGTCCATAGACAACAGTCAAGCACCACCAGAGTTATCTTCTCCTGTTCCCTCTATGGTGCCAGGCCTAGTGGTTGGTCCTATCCCCATCGAAGTTTCCACGAAAAACGAACATCCGACACTCATGGGTGTGCGTAATACCAGCATGATATATGCATTATATATATATATATATATATATATATGATTTGTTTTAAACATGTGTTCTGAATCAATAGGTTGTCATTATTCAAAGGTTTTTTTCTATAGAGAGGTGTCCTTGTAGAAAGGTGGTCCTTATACGAGGGTTTCTGTGTATGGGTTGCAGGACAAAAATACATTAAACCTTGGTACAGTATTTATTTAAGAGGTTTAATATGTTATATTAGGTACCTGATCATATTTGGAAGTAGTGGTATTTTAAAACAAGTGACCCTGTCAGTGGTTTAAATTGGCTAAATTGCGTTAGTTTATATTTTTACAGCAGCCTTATTGAGATGAGTGACAGTTGATATCATCTATTTATTGCAACGAAATATCTCGTTGTGTTGGCTGTTGGAACATAAGGTCTTTGGTTTGCGGATTTACCGATTTTAAAATAATTTGATACTTGATAAAGGCATCATGTTATTGACTGATGTGCCCAATGTATTTATGCCCAAGTCCATTCTATTACCTAGGGAGGTATACTATTGTGACAAATAGCATTGTCAACAATTTCTTGTTTGGAGCACGCGCGTTGAGCTCATGTAATTTGATAAATAAACACCATTTGAATAGAGGGATAGGACAAGGAGACAAACGTATGTACTTTAAAAGCTGTATTGAGTAATCGGAATTTACATTTACAAGTGGACAGATAGAAGTATAACAGAAGTTCTACCACAGCGATAGTGCGAGTGTGAACGTCTATGTGTGGTGTCACGTGATTGGTGTCTCATGAGTGTACCTCGGACTGACCAGTGATGGACGGAATGTATGACTTACCCCGGCCTTTATCCAGCATCCCTTGCTACCCGCTGTATCCGTCTCTACGGTCCTACCACCAGACACGCCGAACTAGAACTCGTAAGAGTGAGGGCGTGCTCTGATATCAAGTAGGCAACATACGGAGCCAAACATGGAGACGTCGTCCACACGGGTGATGAACCACTCGGCGAGTCTTGTCAGTGTACATGCGTGAACGGTTGTATGCATATTTCCGGTTTAGTTAAAGTCTGTTCTATATTTGTGTGTGACTGTTTTATGTTGCTGGTTTTTGTTAGACGTCATAAAACATCCAGATAAATGTACATCTGAGGTTTTTATGTAAAATACACTTACATGTGATTATATTTGCATACCGCTATACACAATACTTATGTACTTACCTACAATGCATTACATACATACATATATATACGTGTACATTCATTCAATTGGCATTTCTCTACGTTTTTCTAGATTTGATAAGAATTTTACAACTTTCTTAATAAGTGTAATATATCAAATAAAAAACATACTTTTTATCTTAATTATACCGGGATTTTGTGATAATATTCTAGAATGTATTAATTACGTGAACTTCTACAAATTCATGCTGGCATCTGTAAAAGTAATGGTACTCGTCACCTACACCAAGCATATAAAGAGGATGTATTTTATTCTTTTGAGGCACACCTGTCCATCGACAGGTTTCGATTGATAATTTTTAATTGGATTTTCTAAATCAATAGAGTACTCTCTCTTCTTCTGGATATACCTGGATGACGATATCTGTTCAGGTAACTGTCCGGTCGGCACGTGCAGGTCACCTTTTTACGGGTGAATAGTCATCACTGATCACAGTAACTATCGATTTTTCGGATTTACGGCTGATATATTAAATATTCAGTTTCCTGTGATTATACCTGATATGTGATATTTTTTCTTTTTCATTACGATCGTAATAGCATCATTCATAGTGGAATAATATATTAACACTTGAAATTCAAACTATTGGTTCTACAGACCGGAAATACCTAGAAGTAACAAAATTGTAAAAAATCACGTGACTGGCGTGACTTAAATCCGAGATAGCTTGTAATTTTGTGTAATAAGACAGCTATCCCGTGTGACGTCATTTGCTCTTGTACACATGCACTTAACAAATTACATATAGAAATGAGTCTGATGGAAAAAACGGCCAAACAGGGATCATACCATTAAAATGGTCAGGTAAAACATAGCTCCCTCCTTAAAAAATGGTCAAAAGGGAGACAACCCTTAATGGATGAATTCCACAAAGTTTCTGGATGAATGTATTATTTTCCTTCTTCCGGTTAATCTGGAACATTTATCCGGCATCCGTGTCCGTTTTTAGAATGTAAATTAAGACTGGAAGCATATAAAACCATCTCCTCATGTAATTGATAACCCCCCCCACCCCCACCCCCAGATCATGCCGATGAAAACAACCTCACACGGTGATCGATACAAAGATATAGAACCAGCCTGATCATGTTTTTTTTCTCTGATAATTCGGTTTCTCCACTCTATAAACCTCACTCTCGCTTAAATTCTTTCCAACATGGGTCATCAACATGAATTGGCTTTATAATATCATAATTTTTTTGCCTATATAAAACATGTGGAATTCATTATGTACCTGTAATGGTTACCTGTAGATTATCTTCCAGCTTTACACGTACTTATTTCCTTATAGTCAGACTCCAGCAGTCCTGGTCATTGTTGTTTATCCTGTGTTAACAGTAATATATACTACTGCATTAGAATTTCCTATATGCAATACACGGATGTGACCTGGCTCGGAAAGATGACAAGATAAAATGTGTCACATATGTGTATGAATATTTCAAGTGCATATGTGAACGGATCAGATCGATACGCTCTAGTTTACGTGTGTAGAAAGGCTTCTGTAATAACTTTGTGTGTATGTTACAACTTCTGTGAGCTATCTACATCGCTGAAGATAACGATATTCGATGGCCCACCTCTAATGCATTACAATTCCTATTCATCTGTCGATGTATAGTTTCAACAAATTCTTGACTCATAATTTTGTTAAAATATGGGATTTAATATGTTTTTCGTGTTGATTATCTCCCTTGTCAGAGATAATCACATATGGATAGTTTTCCTACAAAAAGGCATCGACCATATCTTTCACATGAATTTTTAAAATAACAATATATTTACTGTTAGATGACAATGGTATGGTTGACCTGCTTTGTGTACATGTTTTAACAACTCACATACCGGAATATTGCAGTTAATGTTAAAAACAACTAATTTTCTTTCCAGAAGAAAAAGATGAATATTTCGAATGTTGAACATAAGCAGTGACCTTTCATTTGGCTAAAGAGATATTCAACATAAAACGGGACGAAGAGAGATGTGAAGTCATAAGTACTATATAATTCATTATTTAAATAAATATGTAATGTGATGGGATAAATTATCTTATCACGTCACAACCCCGTTATCAGTAAAATAACAAACGTTTGATAAAAGTTTGCTTTTACGCTCGTGTTATACGACATAGAGAGACTAGACTTATTAAAAGTCCCCATTTTGATGTCATAACTCCATGGCCTCATATGGAGCGTGACGTCACCAAAGAAAGCGACGTAGAATGAGAGCATCACCTAAATAGATGACGAATTAGTCAAATATAACGATTTTCTGATATTTGTTTTTAAAAGGTGTCTTCATCATATGATAAACATAATCTTACATTGGTCGATATGTCATATGATTTTTTTAACTCGCCACGAATTCTAAAAGCCGATTTATTAATCTCATATCAATAGAAACTTATGTAAAAATTGTATTGTGTCTTGTATATATTATTAGATAAATAAGTAAATAAATTATAATTAAATCATTACAGAAAATAAATAAATGAAACAAATAGATAAATATATGAATAAAAAGTACGTAAATAAATAAATAAATGAAGTACGTAGATAAATTTAAAAGTAAATAAAGTAAGAAAATAAATGAATATGTAAAGGACGTAAAAATAGAATATATATAAAGTTCGTAAATAAAGTACGTTAAGTAAAAAAATAAATAAAGTACGTAAAGAGATAAAGTATGTAAATAAGTAAATAAAGTTCGTAAATAAATAAAGTACTTGATTAAATAAAGTGTGTAAATAAGTAAATAAAGTACGCTAATTAATAAGTAAATTTAGGAAACTAATATTGATAAAACAGCACGTGGTAAAAACGTATTCCCATCAACATATAGTATTTTCCGTCGATATTGACATTCATAACTTTCTATCAAATTCACGACCTCAGCTACATAATACACTCTTAAATATACATTCCATTACCAATGTTTCTTAATAAGTCAAGAAATCCACGTTTTAGAATCAGATATACTAATTCAAATTGTGTGATAGCACGAAAGATACCTTGTCGGTCTGGAAAAAGAGAAAAAGATGCAAATTTGCTCAATCTCTTTTCTAACTGTACATGAGAAAACACTCTAAATGTTAAAATATTATAATATGTACACTAGAATTTCTGTATCCACTTCATAGATATATATTTGTATAGTATACAGATTATATACTTAATAAGTTCCTGATATCTACATTATCCTCATGATCACGACCATTACCTACCACAACATTCTTCCCTAATGAAATACCGGAAGTGATTGGGATCAATGTCAGTCCGTCTGTCAGTACATGACCAGGAGTTTGATAGGCAAATGATACACGCACGCACACCACTTCCGTCATGCTGTTGGTTTTTGTCAGTGATGTTGTTGGGAGTTAGTTCCCTTGTATCGCTGTTTTAAGTAAAGTGACCATTGTTCTATCTATTCATATTATTTTGAAGTTTGAATTTCTTTTCCAATAATTCGTGCCATCCTTGAAAAGAGTGAAAATTAAAAAAAAAAAAAAAACCGGCAATGATGGACCTTGGTGTAACAAACCCACAAGCATACCTGGGTTATTCTTTGAGGACCGGCGAGAGAACAGCGGAGCGCCTTGGGATGTCTCAAAAGTTTCTAAATCGATAGGTGCAAAACGTATGTGTAGTGACTGTAATAGAAACCGTTACTTATCACTCGAAGTGGTAAAACAAGCTCCTCCATTCATGATGTTCATCTATTTATTTATCTAATATTTTTTTATCTTGTTTGTGTGTGTATGTGCGTGTGTGCGTGTGTGTGTGTGTGTGCGTGCGTGCGTGTGATTCTGTGAAGACGCAGCATCTTTTCACGACGTAAATATATGAAAATAAGATATCTACGTTTTGTTGGTCCTATCATAAAGCTGCACAACACAAACATATGACTACACTGACTGCGACGATAACACATTCGCATGGTACTGACCGCTGAGGTCACAACGTCAGGTTTATTACTATTGTCTATATAGCGCACGAGTTATATAGAAAAAAATCTGTCATAGTTTGGTACTTGATCGTATTCTAACTATTTCTGGGACAAATATCGACAACTGACTGACAAATAACTTATTGCTCTCATCGAAAATTTATGACCGATAAATAACATACACACATTATGTATATATAACTGACTTTTATATGTCTACTACTTAGGGCCCTGGAAGGACACCGTGTTCGCAAATGACACACAATATCTGTATTTCTAGTCATTTATACAAAAGACAGCTGGAAATAAAATGAAAAAAGCCATATGATTTTAGACGTAATATTATAGCATGGTGTAACTATAACATTATTTTAAAAAAAAACGTAATAGATCTCATTATGAAGTGACCTACTCGGTGTTTCAGAACGATCCTGAAATGACACAGTTAGCATATTTCCGGCTTATATGTTGACAAAAAATTGGCAAGGAGAAAAAAATGAAGTGTAACACGTGGACATAGGTTCTGGACCGTTATGTATTTCAGAACGGCCATTTTGTCGAGGCTTATTACATACACTATTGACCTGCGGGACATAGCATACTGATACTTTTGTTTGCAAGAACTTGCCACGCTTCCAGGAAGAATAAAAAATAGTGATTTAAGCCAAGGACACCCAGTACACCAGTGCGAGACGTCGGTAACAAGTGTTTTACGAGTACCTGTCTATAACTGAAACAGATTGTCTAGGACCGTTATTTGCAACACTATACAGGAAGATTTAAAACTGAAATAAAAATAACATTCTCATGAATTTGATTGATCATACCTTTTAATGTAAATCACAATTATATCTGCTGAACTTTCGCGGTTGCTGCGGAAGTCTTAGCTGACGTCAACAATAGCCTGTTGCATCCTGGGATCGATAGGTCATCGGGTCAAATTCTAGAACTACCGCCATGCTTGTTTACGATAAGAATGGCTTCGTGTAATTTACAAGAAATAATGTGGAACGATAAGAATTTTGTCAGCATGCATGGGTATTCGCTAATATTTAACAGTACAGACACCGATAGAGATATTGTTAAGTAAATCGTTCATAACGTCAGGCGTTAATGTTATTTCTGTGCGTAGGCAATCTTTGAAGTCTTCCAAACCAAATGAGTTCGATAATTCCTATTTGACGTTTTTAAAACACACCAATGAAATAAAAGGATTATCTGTGTATAATTAATTTGTAAACTTATATTAAATGTTTCACTAACTGGCTTCCGTTGTCTTTTATATCAACGTAACGGTTACCACGTGTGCGGCTTTTATTCCAGTGCGTTTTTAAAAAAATCTCTAAAAACTGTTCTGGGTAATTACGCTATTTTTTATAGTTCTAACACACTGGGTTGTCTTATTTGATTTATTGGCGCATTCACTGTTGGGAGGTTTGTCTCTTTCTTGTTATAACTGTTATAGCTGTTATAGTTGTTATAGCTGTTATAACTGTTAAAGGTGTTATAACTGTTATAGCTGTTATAGTTGTTATGGCTGTTATAGTTGTTATAACTGTTATAGCTGTTATAGTTGCTATAGCTGTTATAACTGTTATAGTTGTTGTAACTGTTATAGTTGTTATAGCTGTTATAGCTGTTATAGTTGTTATAGTTGTAATAGTTGTAATAGTTGTAATAGTTGTTACAGGTGTTATAGCTGTTATAGCTGTTATAACTGTTATAACTGTTTTAGCTGTTATATCTGTTATAGTTGTAATAGTTGTTATAGGTGTTATAGGTGTTATAGGTGTTATAGCTGTTATAGCTGTTATAACTGTTATAGGTGTTATAGGTGTTATAGCTGTTATAGCTGTTATAGGTGTTATAGCTGTTATAAGTGTTATAGTTGTTATGGCTGTTATAGTTGTTATAACTGTTATAGCTGTTATAGTTGCTATAGCTGTTATAACTGTTATAGTTGTTATAACTGTTATAGCTGTTATAGCTGTTATAGTTGTTATAGTTGTTATAGCTGTTATAGGTGTTATAGTTGTTATAGCTGTTATAGCTGTTATAGCTGTTATAGTTGTTACAGGTGTTATAGCTGTTATAGCTGTTATAGTTGTTATGGCTGTTATAGTTGTTATAACTGTTATAGCTGTTATAGTTGCTATAGCTGTTATAACTGTTATAGTTGTTATAACTGTTATAGCTGTTATAGCTGTTATAGTTGTTATAGGTGTTATAGCTGTTATAGGTGTTATAGCTGTTATAGGTGTTATAGCTGTTATAGCTGTTACAGGTGTTATAACTGTTATAGCTGTTATAGTTGTTATAGGTGTTATAGCTGTTATAGGTGTTATAGCTGTTATAGGTGTTATAGTTGTTATAGGTGTTATAGGTGTTATAGGTGTTATAGTTGTTATAGCTGTTATAGCTGTTATAGTTGTTAGAGTTGTTATAGGTGTTATAGCTGTTATAGGTGTTATAGCTGTTATAGCTGTTATAGGTGTTATAATGTTATAGCTGTTATAGTTGTTATAGGTGTTATAGCTGTTATAGGTGTCATAGCTGTTATAGCTGTTATAGGTGTTATAGCTTTTATAGCTGTTATAGCTGTTATAGGTGTTATAGGTGTTATAGGTGTTATAGCTGTTATAGGTGTTATAGGTGTTATATCTGTTATAGCTGTTATAGCTGTTATAGGTGTTATAACTGTTATAGCTGTTATAGTTGTTATAGGTGTTATAGCTGTTATAGGTGTTATAGCTGTTATAGCTGTTATAGGTGTTATAGTTGTTATAGGTGTTATAGCTGTTATAGCTGTTATAGCTGTTATAGGTGTTATAGCTGTTATAGGTGTTATAGTTGTTATAGGTGTTATATCTGTTATAGGTGTTATAGTTGTTATAGTTGTTATAGCTGTTAGGATTGTTATAACTGTTATAGCTGTTATAGGTGTTATAGCTGTTATAGCTGTTATAGCTGTTATAGTTGTTATAGTTGTAATAGCTGTTATAGGTGTTATAGGTGTTATAGGTGTTATAGCTGTTATAGGTGTTATAGCTGTTATAGCTGTTATAGGTGTTATAGCTGTTATAAGTGTTATAGTTGTTATAGGTGTTATAGCTGTTATAGTTGTTATAGTTGTTATAGGTGTTATAGCTGTTATAGGTGTTATAGCTGTTATAGGTGTTATAGCTGTTATAGCTGTTATAGGTGTTATAGCTGTTATAAGTGTTATAGTTGTTATAGGTGTTATAGCTGTTATAGTTGTTATAGCTGTTATAGGTGTTATAGCTGTTATAGCTGTTATAGCTGTTATAGGTGTTATAGCTGTTATAAGTGTTATAGTTGTTATAGGTGTTATAGCTGTTATAGTTGTTATAGCTGTTATAGGTGTTATAGCTGTTATAGCTGTTATAGCTGTTATAGGTGTTATAGCTGTCATAGTTGTTATAGTTGTTATAGTTGTCTGTAAGGTTGGAGAAAGGGAATATAACGAAGTATCCGGATTTTCTTCTGTAACCTCGATATCCCTGGAACATCGTACACCCAATGGTACGTATCGACCTTACTTCCGCTTCCGGTTTCGAAAGATGGCAATCTGCCCATTCCCCTCTCTTCTTTTGTTCCTACAATTGTAAAAAGACATTATGACAATAATATGTTTATATCTGTTAACTTTGATTTGGTTTAATTCCACATTGCTTGTAAAATACAGCTATTAATAGTCTCCTTGTGTATGAAAAGCGAGTGCATGGGTTTTCGGGGGTGGGGGGGGGAGGGGGGAGAGGTGTCATTTTATAAACTTCTTGTAAAACAAACCTCTTTGAAATAGAGTGCCGTTAACACCGATCAGAGCACCGCACTAGGTAACACCATTATAATGCCAACGGGTAAACCAACGTTAAACAGGGAAAAATAACCAACCATTGCTACAGAAGCCGGCGTGTCTCGTCCAGAGAACGCTCAATGAAAGATGAAAGGTGAGACAGTATCATGGGAGACATTAATAAAGAGCGGTTTTCTAAAATAAGATCCCACAAATAGTCACTTCTTACTGTAATACAATAGGGATAGCGGGTAGAATGTTTACTTCTTACTGTGGCAAAATAGGGATAGTGGGTAGAATGTTTACTTCTTACCTTCAGGGTTATATTGATAGATGTACTATTGACAGGAAGGACAACTCCGGATAAAAACTGAGATTTTCAAATTTAACGACTGATTGAAACGAATATCAGACAATGGTGAATGAACTGTTTGCAAAAATGGAAATGAATATGACCAACTTATTTATTTGATGATGTGTGTGTGTGTGTGTGTGTGTGTGTGTGTGTGAGAGAGACAGAGAGAGAGAGAGAGACAGAGAGAGAGACAGAGAGAGGGAGGGGGGAGGGAGAGAGCGAGATGGAACAGAAAAGGAAAAAGCAACTATTAAGATAATGTGTATTACAGTGAGTTCAGCAAATTAACTGTGACCTCTTCAATGTCCATATCGTAGGAGACGGAGCTGTTCTACATTGTTTAACGTTTAGCAACTGTGGTCAATTCAGGACGGCATCCTTTATATGATAGGTGAGTGTTTGAGAGTCTACGATATGTTAGTGTAAGCCTCCTTGTGGAAGAGTGAAACCGAAACCGTCTGTAAAGTGCTATCACACTGAAGTGTACTGCCGAAGGCCTGAAGCAGGGCATCACGTGGTCATATTATACTGACAACGGATGAACCAGTCATTACAAAAAATAAATTCCCGACTGTTGGGGACCAACATTTAACCTCTCCTGAATATCTAACTATCTTACACTTAATGAATTCCCGACTTTTGGGGACCAACATTTAACCACCCCTGAATATCTATGTAGAACTACGGTACTCTAACGCCCCTCAAACGGTGAGCATCCAGAGAATATATAACATTAGCACGGACACAAATGTTCAGTAATTTGATAGAAGAGAAAGGATCCGGCAGTCGTCGGACACAATATCTTTTGCTCATAGGTAAGTCTTCAGGACAAAGGTATGACAATTTAATGTCCAAATCGTTTTCCACGCATATAAATCTCACAATAATTGTCGAAGGAAAAAAGTTCATTATTTACAAATTATTAACTCTGATGTGGTCAATACTTTTCTATCGGGTTCAAATAATTTATTGTCTCCATCAAGGGCTATCACTGATAAATAACATTATGAGTATATATAACTGACTTCTATATGTCTACTATTTACAGCCCTGGCGTTATTGACGAGTCCTAAAAGGACAAAGAACAGCTGCACGGGTTAGTTTAATACATTATTTAGATCTAATTCTAAGTATTTGTGTTGACAGATACTTTCACTTGTGTGTCTTATGTAGGTTGATTATTCCTTCACCTGTGTCAATACAACATCTACATGTATATTGAAAAAAAAGATAGCTGAATCAGAAATATGCATGCTTCATACGTTTTCCTGACCTACATACTAGTTGACAAAAAACCCACTTTAGTCCTATAAGGGAAATTATTATCTCATTTGAAGAGCACTAATATTGGACAGTCTGTTTTGGTAACGTTTCTCCTGCTTTAAAATATCCACACATATAAATTTGTCACTAGTTACCATGGTGATTAGAATATTGATTTCAAGAAACAAATGTTAATTTATAGGTATTATTCTGTCATTAAAACAGAACAATATTCATGTGTTTATATTTAGCATCATTTGCAAGAGGATTAGCATACGAACTGGCTACAGTCATTAAATACCGCTTTACCTACCTGATTTACATTATTTTATTTACCACAGCTTTAAAGTAGTGAAATGTTACGTTGTCCCTTTTCGTCTGTGTTAAGTATAAGATAGAGAGTAGATTCTATCGGTATCATTGATGAAAAATGCTTGTGTACAGAAAACTATTTTAAGTAGTCTCGCTTGTTCTGTTTTATCTGTTTATTGAATCATAGGTTATTTCATAAGTATATCAATTTTTTTAAAGAAAATTTTACAAGTTGCAAAGAAGCAGTATATTTTTTGTATTATTATAATATCAATATTTATAGCGACAATACTCAAATGATTTTCATGTTGCCCATTTCCTGTAGAAAATTTTGTAGATGCCAGAAAATATCGTGTAATGACTATCCCTGTTATACACGGCATTCGATAATACGAAAGGGTCTAAATCAGATAAATGTAACCCTGAGTGCAGATCCTAGGTCAGTGATCCGGGCCCTTCCTGGGGCGTGACTAAAGGAAGGCGTAACCCCGAGTGCAGATCCTAGGTCAGTGATCCGGGCCCTTTCCGGGGCGTGGCTAAAGGAAGGCGTAACCCTGAGTCCAGATCCTAGGTCAGTGATCCGGGCCCTTCCTTGGGCGAAACTAAAGGAAGGCGTAACCCCGATTGCAGATCCTAGGTCAGTGATCCGGACCCTATCCAGGGCATGACTAAAGGAAGGTGTAACCCCGTGTGCAGATCCTAGGTCAGTGATCCGGGCCCTTCCTGGGGCGTGACTAAAGGAAGGCGTAACCCCGAGTGCAGATCCTAGGTCAGTGATCCGGGCCCTTTCCGGGGCGTGGCTAAAGGAAGGCGTAACCCTGAGTCCAGATCCTAGGTCAGTGATCCGGGCCCTTCCTTGGGCGAAACTAAAGGAAGGCGTAACCCCGATTGCAGATCCTAGTTCAGTGATCCGGACCCTATCCAGGGCATGACTAAAGGAAGGTGTAACCCCGTGTGCAGATCCTAGGTCAGTGATCCGGGCCCTTCCTGGGGCGTGACTAAAGGAAGGAGTAACCCCGAGTGCATATCCTAGGTCAGTGATCCGGACCCTTCCTGGGGCGTGACTAAAGAAAAGCTTAACCCCGAGTGCAGATCCTAGGTCAGTGATCCGGGCTCTTCCTTGGGCGTGACTGAAGGAAGGCGTAACCACAGTGCAGATTGATGCAGTCATTGTGTCTTTAGGAAAGACATTTTACTCCAGTTTCTTTGGGCCTGCTGCATTCAAGGATACACCTTGCTGTCCGTGGGCCGATAAACCTTGCAAGCGTCGATATTGCATTGCAGTAATAGACAAGGCAATATGGACAAAAATTGTTTTAAGTTAAGAGACAGTTTTCTTTTAACTTTCCCTTCGGTCAGAATTTGCAGAAAAAAAATTGATTCTAAATTCTTCATTTTTTTACGATAAGAGGCAGTTTTTTGTCCTTCGGTCAGAACTAGCCGAAAATTCTTAATTCACCAAGGTCCCCACATTTAATCATCACCTACAGCTGTTAACAGCTTATCACTACAGGTGGTTTCTTCACCAATGTAGAAAGGCATCAGAAATTACCCGTGATTCTTCTTCCCCCGACGCTTCAAACGACAAGCAGTGAAGAACGACAGTGATAATTCTCAACCATGACTGCACGGGATGTTATAGATAATACTAGCAATAATGACTTACCTTTCACAGTATTATCCAGAATGATAGAGGTTAGTCCGGCTACAAACATCTGAGTTCCTAGGACCAGTTTTAGCACCTGGTCTAGGGATGCGTTACCTGTAAAACAGAGGACGACATGATCAAAAAGATTCAAATGATTTAGAAATTTGTTCAATGGCACGTTAACCAGTTGATGGCATGAGTGCACACCGAGTTTTGTGTTATGGCTTAAAACGTTGAAAAATAAAATATTTTTTTTATTAAATTGCAGTATTCTTCATTATTTCTTACACTGCCGTCTTGACCAATCAAACGTGACATCGGTTTTTCTCAGTTAGTGGATGATAACAGGAAAAATTGGCCAATGGAAATGCTTGTATCATAGAGGATTAAATAATGCTAAAGTAATATATCCCTTGGAATCTCGTTATTTAAGCATTTCTAAGTTCCATATGACGTCATATGCCAATTAACAATCCATTCACCTGTATTAATGAAGTTTCTGTTGATTTTTAACCATTCGGAAGTGACTAAGCCTATGTACAATGACGTGCCCAGTACAGCAAGATTCCGAGTAGATGACAGGTTTACTTTCTGTAGTAATGAAAGTCCAATTGACAATAGTAAACCAAAGTTTACTAAGGACACGCCCCCTATAACCGGATCCGGAACTGATGCCATTACCGCTCCAAGTTTGCCGATCACCCCAAAAACCATACAAATAAAGCCAGCAATCACCATGACGCTCCGACTAGCTACCTAGGTGATAGGATAAACAACAAGAATGTTCGGTAAATGACACACAACTTTTGGTGCGTCCATTTATAACTGTTATTGGTTCTACCGCTTATGGAGATTTTCTTGTCTTTCTTTTACTTATCTATTTGCTATTCTATGTGTATGACAAATGAATGGAACTTTACGACTAGAAAACTATAAAAGCAATGACAAAAAAAAAAAAAAAAAACATTTAAAAGATGTAGCTTGATGAAGAGCATAGTTACGGTCGTCATGACTTATTTGGACCGACCATGGTTTACATGGTGAATGTCGTCGATGAAGCAGAAGACGCTTACTCTTTCGGAACAGCTGGTAATATTATCCTTGTACTTTTTCACAAGTATCCGTATAAATCATCATAGTGTTCATATTTTGTCCTAGTTTTATTGAATTTGAGTTTGGATTTTTATTAAGCTGATAAGTTGGTAGTGTCACGCTGTTTTGTAACGGGTTTATCTCAAAATTTAGAGTGGCCATTGACAGTCGGCATCAGATCATGATCAAAATTTTATAGATATTTACTTCTAATATTAACTATATTGCTAAACTTACAAGAATATTCCCTCTGTAATCAAAGCGAAACAGTGGTAACAGGATCAAGATGTTGTATCCCGGAGAAATCCAAACAGACCGCTGACGGTCATCAAGAAGATTGTTCAATCACTGTAAACATTTGGCAGTTACAAATATAGCCAATATGGCTTAGCAGTTGCTGTGGTAACGAACTTCTGATATGTTGAAGAAATGTTTTAAATTCTTTGAGGATATCGATGGTATGCAGATGTACTGGCGGCCATCTTGGATATTATTTAATGTAGCGTTGATGTCCTGTTAAAAGATCGATTCAGTTATTTGGAAGAAATAGTAATATTTGGTACTAATATTGGCGATTTAGGCTGTCAATCGATTGAATGGGGTTTGAAGTCAAACATTGTGTTTTTTTTAGGTACTATTTTCTGTAATTTTGTTTCTATTCTGTTATTCATACCAGTGCGCTAAATCCGTGCAAAGAATTTTATACGTAGAATACAACATTTGCATTACCTGTGTAAGTTTGATGAGAACAGCGTTTGAACTGTATGACGTAGTAGCATGCCCGGCCCCCAGGGCCCCCGCCACTACTCCCAGGATTCCTTCTGTCAGTATTCCACGGTTGATGGCGTGCATGGGTGGAGGATATGTTCCCGTATGCTTGGAGATAATCATGTAATCCCCGATGGACTCGATATTGGAAGACAGATATGAACTGATAAACCCTAGGAAGATGGCTGTGTTAAAACGGATTGGACCGAATTGACCTGCAAATGACGTCATCATAACAAGACACTCGTAAATGAGTAAGCATTCCATATATGGAATTTTATACCACAACGGTAAATTGCTATTTGTAATAAACCCCAATGCTATTTTTTTGAAAATTTCTGATACCTTAAACTGTTGATCATGACAATTATGTGTACGTACAAGGCAAACTATTAAGTTCCTGTCTAATAAAAACTTAGAGCAGTGTAAATACCCGCAACAACATCATAGTAGGAGTCGGACGACATCAACACAACCACCCATAAGTTTCTTCTTTGAAGTTATATGACATGATGGACTTTAGTGCATATCAGTATACATTATGTAGATGCTGCTGTGTGAAGTGTTAAATTGAACTTTTAGTGCTGTAAATAAGTTTCTTCTTTGAAGTTATTATTAATGTTAATTTTTTAATATTTATGGAAATATTTCTTTCTAGTTAATTGATAATTATAAATATGAATATTTTGGTTTTTTGTTTTGTTTTGTTTGAAGGAATATTTTCATTTCAAGGAACTTTGATACACATTAACAAACATTGAGAAATCAGCACAATCAACCGTCATCAATAAAACTAGAAGACAAAAAATATAAGTTATAACAAAGTCAGCATCATGATCAGTACAGTATCAAAAATATATCATTCATAAATCATGAACACCAATTGTACCTTGCCTACGAAGCGCAAACTTTTTATCTACAAAAACTTGAAAAAGAGTCATGGCGGTGGGTGTGAAAAACCTGAAAAAGTGTCATATCGGCGGTTATGCGCGTGGGACGTCTAATGAGGTAAAATGATGTTATATATTAAGACGATCTTGCCACAACGACAAGGATTAAAGCAAAATTGAATTCTGTTTGTAAGTTTTGTTTGTTATAAGTGCTGTTAGTTAATAATTCAAACCAAGCCCCCAGACAAGCTTCTTATCATGGCGCCAACCCGCACGTACAGTGTTCAGAGTCTCATGTCGAGAAGGATTCATAAGCCGCCATACAGTAAATACACTGTAAATCAAGTCACGCAGTTACAATAAACTTTGAAGATACAAGAAACCATTTTTTTGGTTACTTACGGCAGAGACGTATCTCTGCTTACGGATAATATGGTTGTTTTCTAGGAATATTCACAGCAGGCGATAAGAATCACGTCAGCTCGATCTTCTTCAACAGTACAGGTCGGGGATGTCCGTGAGCAAATTCCGTAAATTATATTGTTCAAAATTTATCATTAGTTCAACCACACTGTGCTTCTTTTTTTAAATATATAGTAATCGTATTGTTATTAAAAAAATAAACTTATTGTGGATGCTTTTAAAATAGCGATTTGAAATATCGCGGCGTCATTTACGCAGAAAATTGCCGCTAGAGGACTCTAACTCTTTTCGATATTTCAGCCAATGAGAAGGCCAGGATCGGTAAATTTTGTCTAAAAGGCCGTTTCAACAGACTGTACGTACAGAGTACGTTTAGCCTAAAAAGCATGAACGTGCCTCATGTATAAACATGATTTTAATTTATATACATATTACTTACTATATACATATTACTTATTATATACATATTACTTACTATATACATATTACTTATTCACATTAAATTGAAATATTTCTTTACGTTTGATATTAGAAATTACTTTATTTATGCTATCATTTTTATCATATAGATTTTATTTTAACATTGACTTTTTCGCGCCTGCTTGGTTTAAAGGTTAGACGGTATGCATCTCTGCATCTAATTATAAAGTCGTATCAAAAGGCACTGTTCAGTTGTGTGTTGATTATACAATCTAAGTATATATACCTGTCTTAATGTGAATTATTTACCTGGATATGGAAAGTAGAACCATGGTGACAAAGATATTATATTTCCACGTGTGTCTGTCCGGGCACGATAGGCGGGGTCACTGGGGTCATCTGGTAGAGCTCCGGACAAAGTCAGTACCCAACACAGCGCCCACGTAAACATCACTGTGATGGAAATCTGATCAAATCGATGACGTCAAAATTTAAATGGAAGGCATGTATTTAAAAAAAAACATCGAACGAAAGAGAAATTCATCTATGTGCCGAAAATATTGTTGTCTATATTCGGTAACTGGAAAAAAAGCACGCACTGATCTCTGTATATATATGTTTTATTATTGGTATAATTATTGTGTAAAATATATATAAAAAATGTATTGGGTTCAAATGGGGTTATGGCCCTTCGTGTTACTTCGAGGTTTTAGCGTTCTAGCTGGTACAACGGTATGGAAGAATGGAACGTTTAGCGACATAAGGTGGAAATGACAGATCTTAGCCCAGATATTCGTAGAAAGAAAGCTTATCTTATTCAGAGGAATGTTGTGCGAGTTATGAATGATCTATGTTAGTGAATATTTCATGGTAATTATCAATAATTAATTAATTAATCAAATAGTCAGAAATACCATGAGATGAGTAAAAATGGCGGGAACCTTGCCGTGGTGAAAGGCACGTTACGAGTCTAGGTTAAGAGCATAGCATTACTTTACATGGATAATATTTACCGTTACTGTACCATTCAATATCTCTCAATCTATTCCAATAAGACTGGGAAACTTATCTCGCCTGGTTGAAACTCAAGACTAACGTGACGTGAGATTTGACGCCACCTCTCCATCGTGACTGAACAATCCTATATTACTGCTTCCATGCAGGATACAGTGTGATAAACACATCATATAAATATCCACATTTTCAAAAAGGAAACTTCATAAAACGAGGAAGAACTAATAAAAAAAAAGGTGAGGATTTATCTCCCCTGGTTGAAACTTTTATACTTTTTATATTTTTGATACGGACATAGAGAAATTCTTTTTTACCCATGTCCATACTAATATGCAGAAATGATATTTTTTATACATGGAACTTACTTCGGAGATAGGACATAGGAAAAAAACTTCTACAGATCAAACATGGATCAGACACCTAAATACACGTAGATGTTTTCCACCTGGATATATTAAAACTATGATGTACAGAAAACAAAGATGTCTGCTTTAAAACACACATATAAAGATGACCTTATTTACGTTATGAATATATACAGTGTCTAATGAACATTCCTGTTAAAAAAGGGGAATGCATGATGGTAAGCGTAAGGATAGGATAAGTGGGCTAGCAAAGTTTGACTAGAAAAATCCCCATCAAAAGTAATCTATTTGCCGGTAGGATTTTCACGTCCATTCGGAAACAGACATACAATATGTTTACTATTCTATATAAGGTATGAAGGATGACATAAGCCTAGCTTTTTACTCATGCCATTGAAGCGACGGCAACAAAACTCTTCAGTCACCCCGGATTATACCGACTACAACACAAACGCCACCTAGTGGCAAAAAAAGCAGTCGGCGAACGCCCTACGGTATTAAGTGATTCCTGAATGGTGACCGTCCAAACAATTGAAAGATGTACTAATGATCTGCTACAACAACACGATAAGAGAAAAGGGCCATAACATCTTAGTGATTTCAGATAGTATGCTTTCTTATAAGTGGTGAACTTACCGACAATGTCTGAAAAATTGGCATTTTCGTTGTTTTGGACGACTTTGGTCGATTGTTGGCCTTCTTCCTGTCGCATTGCATTGTGGGTACCGAGACTTTGATTCGTGTGAGATACATGATACACAAAATCATCATGATTACACCACTGTAAATTATATATGAGTAAATATAAGCCCCGATATGTATGTGATAATACATAAAATAAGTTATATTAAATAATCATAAGATAATATATTATGTAGGCCAATGTCTGTGATAAAAATACAACGAGTAACAAAACTGATGACGTCACGTGACTCACCAAAGAGCAACCGGAAGGAATGCAGTAGAGTATCGCAAAGGGATTGGGTATAGGGACAGTGCTATCGAGGAAATCGTCACACAGACTGTAATGGGGCCCACAAGGTTCACCAGGTATCCCAGAAGGCCAGTTCCTCCTAAGAACACTTCCGTTACAAGACCGGCAGCCATTAAGCTTCCTTGGAGCTGAATTTTAGAAAAAAAAATACAGTAAATTCATTAGTTTTCGTGGGAAGTTTATTTCTGTTCATGTCTTAAGTTACAGTAATCCGCTAATTCATCTGCCCACAAAATAGATAACCAGTTAAATATCAAATCATCAAAAAATGGATTTCGTGGGTATTATTTTACCCATGAATTTACGTATGGAAAAAATAATAAAACCACGAAAAAAAACACAACTACTGCGTAACATGATAAATACACGACAGGTTTAAAGATAGAAACATCTCAGAAATGTTAGGACAAATGTGGAAATATTCTACATACATTATGAAGTATACATTGGACTATGATGGTGTTAAAGACACGGTACATGTAGTTGATGATAATGAATTACAGTATAGCTGGTAATTTACATGGGTCAAAGTTTTCGTGATTTTCATTTAAAACTGTCAAAATGAAAAGCGAAAATAAGATACCTACAAAAAGGATCGGCTATACGGTATGCAGCTTAGACCAAGACGAGGGTTGCCTAGTGACAAACCATTGATCAAACCAATAATGTAAAACTGCAATTTGCTTGTTTCAATTTTTGTTCACTAGGTTCATGAACAGACTAGGCTAAGTTAAGATTCATAATTCATCTGAAATTACTGTACCTGAGTAACCCGATAATAAACCATTTCTTGTTCAGTTTCCATGGTAACATTCTGATGCACCGTATAATTGGTTGACATAGTTTCTGAAATCATAAACCGTTCATATGTCAATGGACTGAAGCTTAGTGTAGACAGGGCGAGTCAATCGATAAAGTGTCGATTTATATATATCTTGATGTTTTTAACCTATATTTTCACACATCAATTCACAAACTTCACTGAAGGACAAAACGGTGGAATGTTTTCAGGATGTTTGCTCTATGAAATGTCTGAGATTATGGATCTGTAAGACTGAGGTTCTGTGATGTATTTTTAATGTCTACAGTATGTGGCGCTGAGTTGTATTTGGGATGTCTATAGGGATTGGCTGTTGAATGCATGTGATGTCTACATGATGTGACTCTGGGATGTTTACAGGATGTGACTGGGTATGTTAGGGATGTCTGTAAGACGCTGTCTCTGTGGGGTGTATACAGGACTTTGGCTCTGTGGGGTGTCTACACGATGAGACAATGGGATGTCTACAAGAAGTGACAATGGGATGTCTACAAGATGTGACTGGGGGATGTCTACAGGATGTGACAATGGGATAACTACAGGATGTGACTGGTGGATGTCTACATGATGTGACAATGTGATGTCTACAGGATGTGACTGGTGGATGTCTACATGATGTGACAATGTGATGTTTACAGGATGTGACTGTGGGATGTCTACAGGATGTGACAATGGGATGTCTACAGGTTTGGCTCTGTGGGATGTCTACATGATGTGACTCTGTAATGTCTACAGGATGTGACTCTGGGATGTCTACAGGATGTGACTCTGGGATGTCTACAGGATGTGACTGTGGGATGTCTACATGATGTGACTCTGGAGTGTACCTGAGGTGTTGGCTCTGGGATATATTTGTGAGATAATGCAACCATGAGAGGTTTGTACAATGATTGATCTGTGAAAAAGCAGGAAAAATATAAAATTGTTGTAACTGGTGGTTATGTCTATGTTCATCTTAGTAGGACAACCAGGACCAGGAGGAATCCATCTTAGTAGGACCACAAGGACCAGGAGGAATCCATCTTAGTAGGACAATCAGGACCAGGAGGAATCCATCTTAGTAGGACCACAAGGACCAGGAGGAATCCATCTTAGTAGGACAATCAGGACCAGGAGGAATCCATCTTAGTAGGACAACCAGGACCGGGAGGAATCCATCTTAGTAGGACAACCAGGACCAGGAGGAATCCATCTTAGTAGGACAATCAGGACCAGGAGGAATCCATCTTAGTAGGACAACCAGGACCAGGAGGAATCCATCTTAGTAGGACCACAAGGACCAGGAGGAATCCATCTAAGTAGGACAATCAGGACCAGGAGGAATCCATCTTAGTAGGACAACCAGGACCAGGAGGAATCCATCTTAGTAGGACCATCAGGACCAGGATAAATTTGCTTGTTACTTAATTTTTTTACTATAATTTGTTATAAGGAAAGCTTGGATTCATTATATACACATTTTGAGTCACGTCACATACCCGATTCTACGTCGCTGGAACTGTCACATGACAACACTCCTGCTGATCGCATTGCCAGCAAGGGTCCATAAAAAGAATCGGAAACGCCTTGAAATATCGGTAATCTGAAAAATAGTATTAAGTATAAGTAATGTATTAATAACTATTAAGATATAAGAAACAGACTGCGAATTAGTTTCGTATTTAAACCTACCTTATTCCAAAAGCACTCTGCGCAATCGTAGTTAGTCCTACCATAAACACGGACGTACTGAAAAGCTTGGCTCTTATTGGGTCGTTTCTGTCTGCGCATGCGAGGTCTGCGATTGTGACGCTCATGAGCAAATTTGACGAAAATGACAACATCACATTCTGTAGATATAAACAAGTAAACAATTGTACTGTCGCTGTGTATGAGAGAATAAAGTTAGTAAAAGTAATGTTGCTTTATTAGTCTGAAGGAAAAAAGACCAATCATATTTGCCCTCATACAGGGATAGCATCTCATTCATTCACGTTGGAATGTCATTTCAAATACATAACAATGTTTTTAGGAGATTTGTTTGTTTTATTTTAGAGGAGTTTAGTGTCCTTAAAAGAGCGAGTTTCACATGAGGACGGGAGTCAAGAGTGGCGAAAAGACATAGAAAGAAAAAACTTGATTAGAAAGAAAGAAATATATCAACATTCCCAAAGTTTTGTACGATTTTAGTCTCTTCAATGTCATATCGACAAGACACGGAATAAAACATCCGATTCTGCAGAGTCCAAGTTTAGTCGCCTCTTACGAGAATACAGCACGTCTGATTTTTGGACTCTCCGATGTCTCCGAAATAAAAGGAATGTACAGAACAAATCCTGATCTACAACAGGATGCTCCAAAATTAGTCTCTTTGTCATGTCTGGTCATAAGCCACGCCAGAATGTCGGATCCAAAACCTTAATCAAACAACGATCATGGTCAGACAAGCGTTTAGCATTACTCGAATCAATACAAACATATGATTGATCTGGTCATCCTATCGTATTACTAAATACCCGAAGTCATGCTCCACCGACAATAACCAACATGACATACAGCAGATATACCTTCCCAGTCTCTCATTTGGTTTGTTTCCAATTATATACACCAGACATACGGCGATACTAATGGCCAGCGTTCCTGATCATGATGATGTTTTCATGATTTTTCTTTTATTTTTTTTATTGTTTTTTTTTTTATTTGAAATTGCGATTATTATTTTCAATAATTTGTCTATTATGTACTTTTCGTGTTCAAAACTTACTTCATTAAAGATAAAGCAATAAATCTCAAATTTACGGTTATTCGAATAAGATTATGACTAGATCTTAACACCAAAATCCGCAGAATAAAAAAAAATTAATAAAAAAATTACAAAAAATCCCCATCTTGGGTGAGATGATTTCTCTACCTGAATGGCTAGAATCACAGAAAACACAAACGGTGGGTGATCTCGTACGCCGAAACGTAATGTCGGAACATCCGGATCATTTTCAGGATGCTGGGATGTTTTGTTATCAGGGTCTTCTGCTGTTTCCGATAATGGATTGTTGGCTTCAATCACGATATCGACAGTTCTGTCGTTTTTCCCTGTACATTCACTACGGCAATTCCTAGCAAGTGTTGTACAGTCCTTGCTGAAATAGATCGCATGATTACAATTACCTTTGTACGGAATTATGCAAATGGAATCATTACTACACCCTCAAAATATTTTCTTTATAATAGATTAAGACATTTATATATTTTTGATCTGTTCATATAATATTTTCAATGAACATTTAAATAAATATATTTCAGTTCAGGCATCCTCCTGTGTTTATATTCTGGTATTATAAACAAACTGTTCAGGCATCCTCATGTGTTTATATTCTGATATTATAAACACACATGTGCAGGCATCCTCCAGTATTTATATTCTGGTATTATAAACAAACTGTTCAGGCATCCTCATGTGTTTATATTCTGATATTATAAACACACATGTGCAGGCATCCTCCAGTATTTATATTCTGGTATTATAAACAAACTGTTCAGGCATCCTCCAGTATTTATATTCTGACATTATAAACACATTGTACAGACATCATCATGTGTTTATATTCTGATATTATAAACACACGTGTGCAGGCGTCCTTCTGTGTTTATATTCTGATATTATAAACACACATGTGCAGGCATCCTCCAGTATTTATATTCTGGTATTATAAACAAACTGTTCAGGCATCCTCCTGTGTTTATATTCTGATATTATAAACACACATGTGCAGGTGTCCTCATGTGTTTATATTCTGATATGATAAACAAACTGTTCAGGCATCCTCCAGTATTTATATTCTGACATTATAAACACATTGTACAGACATCATCATGTGTTTATATTCTGATATTATAAACACACGTGTGCAGGCGTCCTTCTGTGTTTATATTTTGATATTATAAACACACATGTGCAGGCGTCCTTCTGTGTTTATATTCTGATATTATAAACACACATGTGCAGGCGTCCTTCTGTGTTTATATTCTGGTACATTTATGTTAATATGGACAAATATCATCTCAATTTCGTGGCACGTGAAAGTGACCGCGAAAATTTAATTCCTGAAATAATGAAAAAAGGATGTCTTTTAAATCCGGAAGACGAAATCTTTAATTGTTAACAGATATTATGGTCATTTTCAAGGAAAACCGCAAAAAAATTGACCCGTGGGAATTACCGGATTTATGGAAATAGATATATCACATGTACAGAGCAGATTGCAGTTACAGATATATGATAAACAGCTCCATCTATTAATGATTCATTTAACCAACATTTATTCACTAAGAAATATAGATTTCTGTGCTTACAGATACAACCAAGAGAGACATCTGTCTGCTACATTTACCACTGAAAAAAAGATACTGGTTGATTAAAATTGTGGAACGTCTGTTGTTAGGATATCTCAACTAGCGCAACACTCCAATTATGTGTAAGACTTTATAAAAGACATAAGCAATACGAATTAAGAATCAGACGCCGTAGAGCCAGCAAGTTAATTAAAACTGCATCATACAGTTTTTTCGTCCTTCGACGACTCGTCAGTTGTGCTATAGGCATAAATTTTAAAACGTAGGAGGCAACCGAGTGAAATTAAAAATTGATCGAAAATCTAGATGGAAGATGCAGTAACTAAGCTTAAGGCATTAAACATGATGCTGGAGCAATATGTAGTGATACGTTATATGTCCCTATTCGGACAATTTACCTACGATATATAACCTACAGGATCTGACTGAACAAAACGTTGGCCTGTCAGGTGATGGGTTTGTAGCAAGTATGGACAATGGAATTCGTTTGCAGCCAAGAAACAATGTATATATATAGCCACCAAATTCTAACACAGGTAGGTCTAGATTTCGCAAACCTTTGCCACAAAGATTTGTCCGTGTGTCAAATTCATTCCGAATTCTAACACAGGTAGATATAGAATTCGCTCTCCATTGTCACAAAGATTTGTCCGTGTGTCAAATTCATTCCGAATTCTAACACAGGTTGATATAGAATTCGCTCTCCATTGTCACAAAGATTTGTCCGTGTGTCAAATTCATTCCGAATTCTAACACAGGTAGATATAGAATTCGCTCTCCATTGTCACAAAGATTTGTCCGTGTGTCAAATTCATTCCGAATTCTAACACAGGTAGATATAGAATTCGCTCTCCATTGTCACAAAGAATTTTCCGTGTGTCAAATTCATTCCGAATTCTAACACAGGTAGATATAGAATTCGCTCTCCATTGTCACAAAGATTTGTCCGTGTGTCAAATTCATTCCGAATTCTAACACAGGTAGATATAGAATTCGCTCTCCATTGTCACAAAGATTTGTCCGTGTGTCAAATTCATTCCGAATTCTAACACAGGTAGATATAGAATTCGCTCTCCATTGTCACAAAGAATTTTCCGTGTGTCAAATTCATTCCGAATTCTAACACAGGTAGATATAGAATTCGCTCTCCATTGTCACAAAGATTTGTCCGTGTGTCAAATTCATTCCGAATTCTAACACAGGTAGATATAGAATTCGCTCTCCATTGTCACAAAGATTTGTCCGTGTGTCAAATTCATTCCGAATTCTAACACAGGTAGATATAGAATTCGCTCTCCATTGTCACAAAGAATTTTCCGTGTGTCAAATTCATTCCGAATTCTAACACAGGTAGATATAGAATTCGCTCTCCATTGTCACAAAGATTTGTCCGTGTGTCAAATTCATTCCGAATTCTAACACAGGTAGATATAGAATTCGCTCTCCATTGTCACAAAGATTTGTCCGTGTGTCAAATTCATTCCGAATTCTAACACAGGTAGATATAGAATTCGCTCTCCATTGTCACAAAGAATTTTCCGTGTGTCAAATTCATTCCGAATTCTAACACAGGTAGATATAGAATTCGCTCTCCATTGTCACAAAGATTTGTCCGTGTGTCAAATTCATTCCGAATTCTAACACAGGTAGATATAGAATTCGCTCTCCATTGTCACAAAGATTTGTCCGTGTGTCAAATTCATTCCGAATTCTAACACAGGTAGATATAGAATTCGCTCTCCATTGTCACAAAGAATTTTCCGTGTCAAATTCATTCCGAATTCTAACACAGGTAGATATAGAATTCGCTCTCCATTGTCACAAAGAATTTTCCGTGTCAAATTCATTCCGAATTCTAACACAGGTTGATATAGAATTCGCTCTCCATTGTCACAAAGATTTGTCCGTGTGTCAAATTCATTCCGAATTCTAACACAGGTAGATATAGAATTCGCTCTCCATTGTCACAAAGATTTGTCCGTGTGTCAAATTCATTCCGAATTCTAACACAGGTAGATATAGAATTCGCTCTCCATTGTCACAAAGATTTGTCCGTGTGTCAAATTCATTCCAACAGGTACCTAGAGTTCTATCTAGATCTCCGATTCCAGCATTAAACATAGACCATACAGGATGATTCAAATACGTGCACAATTTTTGTAGGTTAATTGACGCTTGGGAGATACACAGTCATACTGTTTACATGTATTCTAGTGAATAAGCGTACTTACTGGTTATCAAACTTTAAGAATGTTAAGCTGATTCGAGAGATACAAATTTAATTACGATATTTCTGTCATCCTTAATACAAATTTAATTTCATTCCTACTTTCTGGATATGTCTAAAACAGTCTGACTTCTATAAAACTTGCTTTCTGTTACACTAATACATGTTCCTACTTCACTATACGGTTGTCATACTCACAGGTATATATAACCATACAAACTACAAAGGGTTAATACACTTACAAATTCAGTTTTCTTCTTACAGCACAGTATGTTAGAAAGAAATGTACAAGAATTCGGTGAAAAAGTATAAGAATTAATTTTTATCAGATTTATTTCGTTTTGAAATCTTAAGTATTTGTACCTTAGTTTTGTAAATAAATATATATCCCACGATAAGTAATACAGGTACGTACCAGTTGTCACGTGCTATATTATGTAAACCCTATAACAAGAAACTAAACAGGTAATAATTACTAACAACACACACGGTACACTGGTCAAGGGAAAAAATATGGTGTTTTTTTTTTATCTAAAATCACTTCCTTTCTCCATTTTTCGCTTTAAGGTACCTGAATTACTCAGAATTTTCTGTAAGGGATATCGATTGAATAGAATTATAAAATTTAGAGAAAAATGCATATTTATTTAATTCTACTCAATTAGGTATGTAAACGGCGCAATTATAGGGGCCAGATCCACACCGGTTTTGTTAAGAATGGGAGTGGTACCGATAAATTATCAATTGAAAAGAAAAAAGAGTGGATGATAAAAGCGACCCCTGTCTTATCCGTATCCCCGGCGATAATTGGCGCCAACAATTTTATTAGATCATAAAGCCCGATATAAAAAACAAAACACCAGAAACTAAGATTTTTTTTACTAGTGACACGAACTTCAATTCCATAGTAAGTTTTCATTTCTATGAAAGTCATCAAACAATGCAACGCAAGTGACTTTATCAGAGATCAAAGCAAATCCCCAAACGAAATTCTTAAATGTGGAGCCAACATGATAGACATTTCAATGAGACAGCTGTAGGTTGTCGCCATAGTTGCAGCGCAGTAATTTGACAAAGGTTTAATTCTGAACGTTTTATAGCAAACCTTGTCTGTTAGAGTCATGAATAAGTAACATTTTCTATCTGAATAAAGAATGAATAAAAAATGAAATTTATTTTTTGTTGACAATTTTTTGATGATTTTTTCTTAAACGGTCTATATTTTGTCGCGTACGGCGATGTTGTGATGACTGAGTAGTGCCCGTGAAAAAGCCTAGTCAGCTTTCTCGTTTTATATCTGTTCTAATCATACCAGCTATTTGGCTATTTTACTTGTGAAAATGTAATAAATAGAATAATCAGTAGTGTCTACAGTAATAATAAATATATTCACCCTTGTGTTGTTATGTTTGACTACAAGTAAATGACACACTTAAAATGCATTTGATAAAGATAACTAGTTTTGGAAAGATCATCCTGGTTTTAATTCTTAACATTTTAGATTAAGATTTTAAAAGATGCAGGCTGATGAAAATCTCAACGAAAAATATATTTTTGTTACGATATAAAGCTGGACGTGATTAATGCTCGTTAGTTTGCCTGTTTGTTCCTTTATTGTATACATTGTTCTCATTTTGAGAACGTGACATTACTTACTTGTATTGACCACGATTTACCTAGCAGGAGTCGACGATGAAGCAGAAGACGCGTACTTTTTCCGGAACACCTGGTCTTATCGTCCTTATAGTTTCCCATAAGTCTCCGTGTGAATCTTTCTTTTGTGCATATCTTATCCTAGCATCATTGAATTGAGCTTGGATTATAATTATGTTGTTTCTTCATTTGATCTTGCAGTATTCGGTGAAAACTCAGCGTGGTTAGTGACGAGACTATATATTTCACGAAGTTTAAATTATGTTCCCTATTCATAATTTCGAAGAGAATCAAACTCATATATATTGAAGAATAAACATTGAATATTTCTTAAGTGCGGACTTGAAATGAAAAATTTTAAAAAATCGCTAACTTTATGAAATTAGCAAAGAAACAATTTACGCTTTAAATGAAAATAAAATAGAAATTATTACCTGTTTTCTGAGACGTTCATCCTCACAATTTTCGGCAATCTTGGATGTTAACAGAAACGTATCACAAAATTTAAGTGAATGTGGAATTAGCAGCAGATGGCGTTGTATATATGAAATCCTACACTTGTTGATATTATGTAAAAATTTCGTTAACGACAGAATAAAGCCGGCAAATTATAAGATTTTATGTATGCATTTTCTGTCAACGCTCCAATGGCTTTACAATGCGGTTTCAGCATCACGGACAAAGTTTAATCTTAAATGCAGCAGCACGTAGCTAAACGACAAACAAACATGAAACCTTTACATTAAATCATAACTTAATGATATAATATTCAGAGCGATGTTACCAAAGATAAATAAGATAGAATCTTGATGGGGGCCTGTAATGTAGATAGAAATATCTAATCTCGAATTTCAGTGGGCGGCATGAGGTTAGCAGATACTGATCATCCCATCTCTTTAACTGAACAGATGAATGTCGTATAACTTTGATCATAAACTTACAAATAAGACCGTTACATATTAAATGTTATGTTGAACAGTGTTCATCGCAACATTATGAATGACGTCATCAATTTGTAATATGGTAAACTAATCACGTGACACAACTGTGAGTTCACGTAATCTAATGTCAACGCACCTTCGGAGTATCTTCCTTACCCCGTGTGAGATAGAGCTTTCCTCGGAAAACTTCGGGATGAGGCGCCATCTTTTGAATATGCTGCGTTTCCGGTAAACCATGAAAGGGCACGGTGATCGAATGGTTAAGACGTCTGACCGTCTTTATGGCTAGCCCTTAACCTCTTTTTAAATTCTGGTTGAAGGTAAAACAGAGTAAAAACTGTATTTTCAAATCATATTATGACGAGTGTGTTAATCTAAACGATGTCTGTCAAACAGGAATTATCAAGTCTTAGGTTGGAATATGTGTTTGAAAAGAATTTACCTGTTAATGTTGCTTTTAAAATTATAGAACAAAGAATTTTTGACAATAGTAGACAGAACATGTTAGCAAATATATCAAGGTCATCTAAGGGTATTTTTTGTATCAGCACCTTGTTGATAATTTGTGTCTCCAATTTTATTTATGTAAATCTATGGAAACAAAAGTACAAACGTCTTATTACTTGTTTCAGATTGTCGTCACATAATTTAAGTATTGAAGTCGGTAGACAGAATAATGTTTTTCGTCGTTATACCTCTGGTGATGTAGAGGACGAATTTCACTTTATCCTAAAATGTCCTTTTTACCAAAATCTGAGACGTTAACATATTAAACAATTCTATCACAGAAGACCAAATGTTTTTAAGTTAACGATATTACTGCGCACCAATAGTGTAAAAGAATAGTGTAATTTAGGAAAATATCTATATTGTGCCTCAAGGAAACGCACAGAATTTAGTGATTGATAGAAGTAATTGTACACTACAGTATCATTGTAAGCTTACTCTCCATTTAACCTAATTTGTATAACATTCTTTCATATTTGTACCACATTATGTAAGTATGTCTTTGTTATTTAACCTATGAGTCAGATGAATCACAGAAAAAATAAAATGAATGGAAAAGGACCTCTGGGTCGCGGGCTCGAGACCGGGCTGCACATCCTTTTTTCCCCTTTGAGAACTCCTCCACACATACTAAGCATTTCCTGTTCTCGGCTGTTAATAAGGCGTAAAACTATGATAAACTGAACCTCCTCATATGACACTGGCTGTTGCGAGGAAGTAAAAACCCCATCAAATCCATCAAAACCTGATTGTGAAATTCCGATAGCTTGCACGATTGCCAAACAATTGCCCCATCATTTGTAGACGCCATCATCCAATGACCTTCGCTGTTACGATGATGCGAAACCTCGAACAAAGAAAAAACTCTTCACCTAAGGTTACACTAGACTGATATTTTATCAATTGAGCCCCTTGTGCAGCAAAGGGTGTTGAATGCGTTATGATTTAACTATTGTAAAAAATCTTGGTATGATTATTTATTTATGCTAAAATCGATACTGTTTATAGAAAATTATCCTACAGCATAAGAATCTAACATATGATAGAAAGATAAAAAATAGAATTGCAAGAATTTTCCACATAGTGCTAGGTGTACAAACACTTATACAATTCTAATGCAATTAATATACGTTCCTGTTAAGAAACATTTTAAGTTCGTCAATTTCCATTTTGAAAGACAGAAAGTCCAGATATATAAGATAAGCCTATTGTATGTATGAATTTATTGGTGAATTTAAATTCTAAATATAACATATGAATGAGATATGAATAAAGTTCCTGAATAATTGATTAGAATATGGAAATATACAAATTCAATGAAAATGAAAGATAAATGCTGTTTGTAAAAATCTGTTAAATGTATTGTACGTATATGCTGAGAAAATCGAGTCTGTTTCTTTTAACTTTAACAAAAAACAATATGAAATAAGATATAAAATAAAAAAAATTGAAAGAATGAGATAAAAAATAACAATTAAAAAGAATAAATAAAAATAAAGATATGTTTTCCTGCTGGCTAGGCTTTGCACGTGGTCCTTTGTGATAACCTCTTTTTTTAAAATGTTTTCTTTTCTACCTTAGTGTATATAACATTATAGTACAGACGAAAACGTTGGCCGATTTCCTCGTACTATCTCGTACACTACGTACGTCAGTGCTAGTACGCCCCGCACTGGTCATTTGTCTGATGGGGGGTGACCGTGTAGATCTCGTACACTACGTACGTCAGTGCTAGGACGCCCCACACTGGTCATTTGTCTGATAAAGGTGACCGTGTAGATCTCGTACACTACGTACGTCAGTGCTAGTACGCCCCACACTGGTCATTTGTCTGATAATGGTGACCGTGTAGATCTCGTATACTACGTACGTCAGTGCTAGTACGCCCCACACTGGTCATTTGTCTGATAAAGGTGACCGTGTAGATCTCGTACACTACGTACGTCAGTGCTAGTACGCCCCACACTGGTCATTTGTCTGATAAAGGTGACCGTGTAGTACGTCAGTGCTAGGACGCCCCACACTGGCCATTTGTCTGATAATGGTGACCGTGTAGATCTCGTATACTACGTACGTCAGTGCTAGTACGCCCCACACAGGTCATTTGTCTGATAAAGGTACGTCAGTGCTAGTACGCCCCACACAGGTCATTTGTCTGATAAAGGTGACCGTGTAGATCTCGTACACTACGTACGTCAGTGCTAGGACGCCCCACACTGGTCATTTGTCTGATGGGGGTGACCGTGTAGATCTCGTACACTACGTACGTCAGTGCTAGTACGCCCCACACTGGTCATTTGTCTGATAATGGTGACCGTGTAGATCTCGTACACTACGTACGTCAGTGCTAGTACGCCCCACACAGGTCATTTGTCTGATAAAGGTGACCGTGTAGATCTCGTACACTACGTACGTCAGTGCTAGTACGCCCCACACTGGTCATTTGTCTGATAAAGGTGACCGTGTAGATCTCGTACACTACGTACGTCAGTGCTAGTACGCCCCACACTGGTCATTTGTCTGATAAAGGTGACCGTGTAGATCTCGTACACTACGTACGTCAGTGCTAGTACGCCCCACACTGGTCATTTGTCTCATAAAGGTGACCGTGTAGACATCGAAACGTCACACTCTAATCTTCCGCGTGTGTTCTAAGAAATATCTTTCTATTGTGTTGTTTACCTAACATACGATGTAAACTCTGGTGTGTTCATTGCTCAGGCCTTGAACTTATGTTGAATTCTCTGCCTTAATATCACTTTATCTCCTCATTCCTATTAAGACTGTTTAAAAACAGAAATTAGCAGTTTGAGGTGAATACTGAGATGTTTTGTCTAAATTTTGACACGCCTGGATTAAAAGAGTTTGAATTTCAATTAGATATAGTTTGAAATGGAGTGATACCTTCCAATATATTTCATTGTTCCTGTCACAGATATTCAGTCGCCTAAATGTATTCGTAGGTAAAATTACATATTTCAGTTTGAATTATGATACTGTATATTTGATAATTTTCACAGGTCAATGTTTTCGCAATTTTCTCTTAAAATCATCGAATTGCATTATAAGGAAATGATATTTTGGAATTGGGTAAAAAAAGACATCTAAAACATTCGTTATTTAAATTTTCGTGATCACGTAAATGTACGGCGAAATATTGAAAATATCGTTCCGCGAAAATCCCCGGCTATACAGTATTATGCTTATAGCACCAGTAACAAAACTTCCAAATTATACCAGGTTAAATTAAATTGAAATATGATCTTAAAGCATGCATGTTTACGACCTGTTTAGTTTCATAAAATGTATGAATGCATATGAAAACAGGACATTCTTTAAAATACCTATTTATATTTATATATGTACAAGCAGGTCCGGTCTGTGCTCGAGATAATACGTTAAGTACTCAACAGAATACATATAAACTATAACATGGTGCCCGTCCTAAATGTACCACTGTAAATTATCAATATAGCACATAACGATTAAAGTGTCCTAAATGTACTACCGTAATGATTTATTCAAACCCAGGAAAGGTCAAATAGTTTCAGAAAACAGGATGAATCAATTACTCTATCATAAAGAAGGAAGTAAAATGTTTGGGGCGAACGTTGAACTAACAGTCAAGTTTGAGACAGTGTTAAAGAGGCATAAGGAAGAAATAGTTAAGTAAGAATATAAGACGTCAGATTCCTACATAGTGGCCAGTTACGAGACATACAATAAACAGTACAATCTTTACTACCCACTTTCAGGATTGACAACTGCAGAAAAGAGAATTACATTATACCGATATTGGAAAATATCAAAGTCAAAGTTCATACGGCTAAACACCAAGATCATAGGACTAAACACCAAGATCATAGTGCTAACACCAAGATCATAGTGCTAAACACTAAGGTCAAAGGGCTAAACACCAAGATCATAGCACTAAACACCAAGATCATAGTGCTAACACCAAGATCATAGTGCTAAACACTAAGGTCAAAGGGCTAAACACCAAGATCATACCGCTAACACCAAGATCATAGTACTAAACACCACATCATAGTGCTAACACGAAGATCATAGTGCTAAACACTAAGGTCAAAGGGCTAAACACCAAGATCATAGCGCTAACACCAAGATCATAGTACTAAACACCACATCATAGTGCTAACACCAAGATCATAGTGCTAAACACTAAGGTCAAAGGGCTAAACACCAAGATCATAGCGCTAACACCATGATCATAGTACTAAACACCACATCATAGTGCTAACACCAAGATCATAGTGCTAAACACTAAGGTCAAAGGGCTAAACACCAAGATCATAGCGCTAACACCAAGATCATAGTTCTAAACACCACATCATAGTGCTAACACCAAGATCTTAGGGCTAAACACCAAGATTATAGGGTGAAACATTAAGATCCTAGGACTAAACACCAATATCATAGTTCTAAACACCAAGATCATAGTGCTAAACACCAAGATCATAGTGCTAAACACTAAGGTCATAGGGTTAAACATTAAAATCCTAGGACTAAACACCAAGATCATAGTGCTGAACACTAAGGTCAAAGGGCTAAACACCAAGATCATAGTGCTAACAAAAAGATCATAGTGCTAACACCAAGATCATAGTGCTAAACACTAAGGTCAAAGGGCTAAACACCAAGATCATAGCGCTAACACCAAGATCATAGGGCTAAACA